ATCGTTCTCATCCGAGTACAGCAGGGCTTGAACACCACTATCAGTAAACCTTTCCTACTGTATGCCAAGAAAGTCGAGATCCTCTGATTTAAAAGCTAAAACTGTTTACATGTTTAAACAACATGTGCTTTCTAGATATAAGAGCAAGCATTTATTTACAGTCCATGTGCGACTGCAGGCATATTAAAACGACAGGATGTTTTGAGAATTTCGGACTAATTTGCCCTCCCTTTGGTACCATTATGTCCCCATTATGGATATAGTCATGGACGTGTTTTCTCCAAGTGATAGAACAGTGTGGGAAAGGCTATGGAAAATCCCTATCACCACACACAGGAAGTCACATGTGAACAGTGACTGTGTAACATCAGACTCACCATAAACAAAGCTCTCCCTCTAGTGGGCTAATCGTTCAATCACAGTTGGATTTAATGCAGTGGCCAGTTTAATTTAACACATTTTCTATTTGTAGGGAATATCACCAGGACCCCGTTTACCAGCGAATGGGCGTCCGGCAGATATAACAGGCCAGGCTCAACAGCAAAGGCCTCCAGTTCTCAGCTCTCAGCAGAAGAACCCAGGCCAAGACCAGAACATTCAACGACAACTGGGTCAACCGCAACACAACATCGCTGATGCAGTGAGTGCTAAATACGTATACGACTATTCGGTTTTCTAAATGTTTACTGAGAAATAATGCTTTACATCATTTTAATTTAGGACAGTTTTTTTTTTTTAACTAGATCTTCGTACTAGTTACGGGTATACACAACAGCCCTTGTAAAACTTTCCTCTGTGTCAACTATATTTGTGATCCTATGAATGACAACTGACTATTTGGTCCGTTGTAATCTAGTTTTTATTCCTTAACTTTTAAATGATGTCCTTTTTCTGTAAATGTTTCAGGAGAAACTGAGCACGCAGGATCAGTTCAGTCGTCATCTAACACGGCCTCCACCGGACTACAAACACCCACGCAATGGAGTTGGAGCTCAACAGCCTGGCTTATACTCAGGTGTGCTTATGTCTTCAGACTGTGTCTGTGTATCTATTAGCAGTAGCAAGTCCAACAAAAACGGTTCACCAAGACCAAATACATCAACATTGTCATATTAATGACAATTAATTAATATCAATAACATGCTAAAACCATTCCGAAAGTTGTCATGATTAAACTACATTTAAAGGAGCTGTATGCAAGAAATTTATTGAAATTAATAAAAATTTTTCCCTGATATGTCACTGACTAGGAATTAAGAAATCATGTTCATTTCAAATACTTATATCACTGACAACAGTAGTCAGGATATTGTCATTTAAAAAGTAAAGTTGCAGCCTTTGACTGATGTTGTCAAGTTGTGTTTTGTTCTGATGCGTCACCCTCCACCGATCTACCAATCACGGAGTCAGTAGTGTTGCGGCATTCAGGTTGCCAGCTCTGCTCTAGTTACCTCAGCTGCAGATCCAAACGTGTCGGAACGTTGCTTAACCACAAAACCTTGATATGAATCCGAAATACTTTGTTACAAGTCCGAAATAAATAATTGTCACTGTGTAGGACTCGTCACTTGCAATTGGAAGCTTCTTGTAGAAGCCTACATTCCTGCTGGATCCTGCAGCATATCTGGCAACCTTGAGTCATGGGGGAAGGCGGGGATACACCCTAATTTGAAAGTGATTGCAGTACCAGTTTTGGCCACAATCTTGCATACAGCTCCTTTAAAAGAGAACTCCGGCGCAAAATGAACCTTTGGTCTAATTACACATTGCTACCTAGTCAACCGTTATCTGAGATTTGTTTTCATGATTGCCGAATGTAAATAGTTTTATCTCTAAAAACAGTTTAGCCTATAACGCTAGTATAACGCTAGTATATGGGGCATAGAGCAATGACAAATAAAAATCGCTTGTTATTACCACTAACAAGGCTCAAAATAGCCCCACACTAACACGACAGCATAATAAGGGTCCCTACATTCAAACCGAAGCATTGAGAACTTTGTCAGTGTCCAAACAGTTTAATAAGAAGATATTTTATACACACAGTCAACTTCGCGAATACAGGAAGAAGCCATCTTTGAAAAATAGTCTCTTCCAGTCGATCTACGAACACCGATCCATGTGCGCTGGTGAGGTGTGAATAAGGTGATAAGGTGAGCGCGAACAGTAGGCTACGTGTACATATTGAAGAGAAGAAAACGGTTTGTGTTTGTGTTTCTTCTGGAAACAACGGACCATTTGAGATTCTGCTCAGTTCAGCGCACTTGGATTGGCGTTCGTAGATCGACTGGTAGAGACTATTTTTCAAAGATCTTCTTCTTCCTGTATTCGCGAAGTTCACTGTGTGTATAAAATATCTTCTTATTAAACTTTATGGACACTGACAAAGTTCTCAAGGCTTCGGTTTGAATGTAGGGACCCTTGTTATGCTGTCGTGTTACTGTGGGGCAATTTTGAGCCTTGTTAGTGGTAATTTTTATTTGTCATTACTCTATGCCCCATATACTAGCATTATACTAGCGTTATAGGCTAAACTGTTTTTAGAGATAACACTATTTACATTCAGCAATCATAAAAACAAATCTCAGATAACAGTTGACTAGGTAGCAATGTGTAATTAGACCAAAGGTTCATTTTGCGCCGGAGTTCTCCTTTAAAGTAAATGCAAAAAATGATACTCTTGCTATTATGCTGATGATACAATATGATTAATTAAACTCAGGTTTTGATTAAGGAACCACACCAAACCTTAAATCAGGTATTATACATTTTACACATGTAAATCAGTATTTTAAACCACCAATATTTTGTTTATACATATACAACAGGCAATGGCTCAGACCAAAATGACCTCCAACCTTTATCGTGCCACATGCCCAGTGGACAGGGTACTAAGATGGTGCCCTCCTCAGGGGAGAGAAGATTTCCGCTCGGACAAGACCCCAATTCAGGACCCACAGGTGCAAACCAGCTACGACAGCAACCCAGCGGCCTGATCCGAATGGTGCATCAGCAAAACAAGCCTCAGTTCCATGGGACAAACAACCAGGGTGCCACTTTTCGATCAAGCACTGTGAGGACCAGCATCGGTCAAGACTCCCTGCTGGGTCAAAGACTGGGTGACATGAACACCAATGCCAGCAGGATGGACACGGCTTTGAGCTGGGCAACCAGTGCCAAGCAGAGTGGAGCTCTACCAGGTCTAGATGTCAAAAGGCTCCCCAATACAGTGACCCCACAAAGTGACATTAATTTTTCTCCGAGGTCAGTTTGCCCACCTAACCAGGTGGCACCTCATTCTAGCCTGCTACCATTAAACCCTGTGACCAGAAGCTCTGCTCCCAGATCCAGTCAGCCTAGAATACCCCCACTACCTGGGGTGACTTGCCTGAGCCAGTCTTCCCCCGAACAGCAGGGTTGCCCGACCACATTTGGAGGGCTGAGCCAAAGCTCAGCAACTTATCAGAACAACCGAGCAGGCCGGCTGACCTTTGACTTCCTACCGGAGGATGACAACACGGTACCAGGGTTAAACGCAGACTCTGATTTCATCGACTCCCTGCTTAAATCGGGTTCGAGCAACGATGACTGGATGAAAGACATCAACCTGGAGGAAATACTAGGCGGACATTCGTAAAACAACAGACTCGAAGCATGAGAATTATGTTCGAAATGTCTGTTTTAGGATTGCCTGATGTGAAAGGCCTGTTAAAATATTTTAATATCCTTGTATTTGAGTGCAAATCAAATGTATTATATGTACTAGTATATTGTTGGGCCGTTACTTCATATCTTCTACTAACATGTTGTAAAGTTTCACGTTCATTGCTTCGGTGTTTTTTGTTTTTTTTAAACAACCACACACTACCCCCTATATTCATATCAGTTATCATTAAAATGCTGTGAGATTTCTGTTAGAGCTTTTGTTACTCCATTAGTAGAGATTGATGTAAAATAAATGCCATAATGGAGCCATCGGTCATGCCATCGACACTTAATTTAAAGGAGTAGTTCACAACTTTTGCTGATAATTTACTCACCCCCATGTCATCCAAGATGTACACGTATTTCTTTCTTCAGTTGAAAATAAATTAAGGTTTTTGATGAAAACATTCCAGGATTTTCTCCATATAATGGACTTCAATGGGAACCAAACGGTTCAAGGTCCAAATTTAGAGTTTCAGTGCAGCTTCAAAGGGTTTTAAACGACACCAGACGATCAATAAGGGTCTTATCTAGGACCCTTCGAGTCATGACTCAAAAAAAAGATTTGTTCATTTTGATGAATGAGTTCGAACAGGAGAGTCACGAACGCTCATCACAGAACTTATAAAACTTAAACTTTGTTATTTATTTTTGAAATGTCAGATCGTTTCACTAGATAAGACCCTTATTTATCGTTGGTGTCATTTAAAGCCCTTTGAAGCTGCACTGAAACTCTCATTTGGACCTTGAACCGTTTGGTTCCCATTGAAGTCCATTATATGGAGAAAACATTCCAGCATTTTTCATCAAAAACCTTAATTAATTTCTTTTCGACTGAAGAAAGAAAGACATGGACATCTTGAATGACATGGGGGTGAGTAAATTATAAGTACATTTTTTTTAAAAGTGAACTACTCCTTTAACAAGCAGACAGTTTGAAATTATTTACTTTAATCTGGCTCTTATAGTTCAAAGTTATAAACCTTAAATATTTTACATTTAAAATACTATTGTGTGAAATGAAACGTTCAGATCCGTTTTGACTAACCATTCTCCAATTACATATCAACGGGTATTGAAAAAGAGCCATTTATATATAATTTTATTACACACCTAAAAGAGTAAAATCTGTAAAGGGAATAGACATATGCTTAGAATGTTTGATGTTGTTAACTGATGAAGTCAACCTTATTTAGAAAGACACAGCAAGTTTTGAAAGTTCTTATTGGTAATATTGTATTTGTACATCTGTATCTCAGTTATACGAAAGATATTTTTTCTATTTCTTTTCTATAATGCACTATAATTCTGTCATAAGTGTATATCATATTGTCAACTTAGCCTTTGATAATAAACTACATCAAAGAAGAACATTTACAAAACATTTTGACTATTTCTTATATTTAATGTCAAATGGAAGTGAAGTACTACAAGGCTCTGTCTTAGGTCCTCTGTAGTTATTACTAGATTCAGGAAAATCTGATCATATCAGCCCTGATTCATATCAACGGTTATAAAATACTGCTACTTAATGCTCTTAATATTGCAGCTATGTAGTACCTAGTCAATCTTCGGCCACACTTTTTATCAGGGGTCCTTAACTAACACAAATGTAGATATGTTAACTAAAATCTAAGCGATTGATGTCTCTCCATAGACAGCTACGCAAGTTACGCAACTACCACTTTGTAAAAAAAGTTAATAGAGATCATAAAACCAATCCATATTAATTAAGTGGTTTAGTCCAAATATTCTGAAGATACACAATCGCTTTATACGCTGAACCGAATTAATTTAGGCTTTTATTCACATATAAACATTGATGCGCATAAACAGTAGCTATATACAAATAAAATAAACACGTTTATTGCCAGATAGGAATCAAATACTTTGCAAGGCTTTGAATTAAGATCTTGACTTAAAATGATTAAACCCTGTAACTTGAGACATAAGCCTTTTCCATCATGACTTGAAACTTGACTTGAGACTTGATACTAGCAGCCCATATCAGATCCAGATTGAAGGACAAAAACGGTATGGAAGGAAGATCATATAAACACCAGAAAGGTGGTAGACATCTACGGAACATAAGTTTTGAACATTTGTTAAATGTTCATATGTCTAAATGGTAAAATGGGAAGACTAAAAGTTCAAATTAAGCCCGAATTTTAAAGGAGCATATACAACGAGAGGTGGGCTGGATATCAGGTGCAAACCCTGGTTCAAACCTCTTCAGAAAAAAGGCACGGTCCCATTCCAGTCAATAACAGCACCCTCCCACTTCGTCCTAATGGTCATCTCTACAGATGGAAACTTTTTCTCTAGGTCTCCCTGAATGTCTTTATTTTCAGCCTCCCAGTGATGAGAGTGTGTATCTGAAATACAAAAAAGCAAAACAATATGATTCACACAACTACTGTATATAACAAGCAGGCTTCAATGAGAAAGAGATCTGGGTTTAGCTATTGACTGCACCTATGGTGAGCACTGTTGTGTTGAGCTGAGTCGGTTGGCCGTTGTAGAAGTAAAGCTGGAAAAGATGCTCCATCTTCCAGTCAGAGAGCAACGAACGGTTTGGGCTGAACAAAACACTGTAAGTGCCGTTGATGTTGCACACCCAGATAGGCAGCCTGGGGGTTTTCAGCATGCTGCCCACCTTAGGAAAAAAGGGATCCACTCAACATGAATGCTCTTAAAATATAATATAGTTATATATACATCATTTAGAGTGTAATCTCTGATTATATTATTAGTTGTATTCGAAAATAGATTCTACAACATGAGAACTAGCAATGTTATCAGATAGTATGAAGGATTTTTACGGAAAATATAATTCATTACTAAAACTAACACAGATATCAACATTCAGCATATGAATTAGGGATGCACCGATCCACATTTTTTCACTTCCGATCCGATCCCGATACCTGACTTTGGATATCGGCCGATATCGATACTTTTCCGATACCAGAGCTGTGTTTGCTTTAATAGTATTTATCATTGTTGATTTTATATGATGCTGAAATAAACTCCTCTCTACAGGCAAGGATGATATGTACGTATGTATGTCAATATATATATATATATATATATATTAAACAATAGATAGACAATTAAACAAAGATACACATTATACAGGCCTACACAGTGCTTTAATTTCAGGAAGGTCTACAAACATTATTCAGGTATATGGTCTTAAAAAGAATTATAATAAAGTAATCAAAAGTAAAATAGCACTGCAAAGTTTATCATAGATAGATTTATGCTTATTAAAGCTGAAGTAATTCATTCAAGAGCTGTGAGTGATTTTCTCTTTGCCTTTGGTTGTTTGATTCTCAGTAATGTCGCAATCGTCACATTTATACTGCTGCCCCTTTAAGAACGAGTTCAGATTTCATAGTCTACTGATGCACCATATTTTCTCCCAAATATTTCCATAACTACGTTCATTTTAGACATAATAAATTGTGTAAGTGTTAATCTCCAAGTCGGTCGGTTTGACATTTTTGTGCAGGCTACATTTGATCGTTTAGACGCGCATATGAAGCCCAGAGTATAATTTGCTTGTCTTGTTGCGGTCTGTTTCGGAGCGCGCCGCACTGGGAACAGCATCTCTTGCGCAAATTTTGTGCTTTTAATAGCTCTTTTTATTATTAAAAGCGTCCCGCAATTTAGTAACAGCAGAGACTGCATTTTACTACAATCATCGATCGTGCTGATTCTGTATTAAAGTTTGAGTTTTAGGGAGAAATGACAGCGCACCGCCGCGATGGGAAGGAAGTTGGCTAGACAGAATGCGGCTATTGATTTTAATGTTTTTTTTTTCTTTTACCTCAATATATTCTTTAATATTTGGAAATCAGACTAATATCACAGATCTAAAGTGTAACCAGGCTGCGTTTCCTCTGTCGTCACTCATTACGCCGGGCTGTCATGTTGTGCTTGCGTGAGAGATCTCTCTCTTTCTCTTCTGGACTGCGAATTGCAAACATGCATCAAATAGTTTAATTAATACGGCTTTGCAAACATTGCACTTTGCTGTCTTGCTCTGCACTGCAGCGGTGTTTCCAGTTCCACCATATGATTTCCACACAGCGAACATGTTATAGCTCAGTGCTATCCTGCTAGCTGGCTGCAAACTGCAGAATGGATTTCCTGAGCGGGGGTGTGTCTCATTGAGCCCTATGTTTTACAGTCACTGATTGAGCTGCACCTCCGTTCAGGGTATCCATTCCACAGTTTGCAGCCAGCTATAGCAGACTAGCAGGCCCGGCGGGAATCACTTTTGGAGTCATTTCAGCAGACAACGTTAAAGCGCAGACATGGATCATAAATATCGGATTTCTCCGCAGGTTGGATCGGAAAAATCCGATACGTGAATTATGCTGGTATCGGTCCCGATACCGATACTGGATCGGATCGGCCCCATCCCTAATATGAATCTCAACAATGGTGACAAGTAAAAAACGATTCATACTGCAATGCATGCTGGGTACTACCATAATACAAACCTCATGCATTGCAGCATGAATCGTTCTTTCGAATCGTTATCGGTATTTCAATAACTGATTAATAACCTTTTAACTCATTACCATTAAAGTGCCTACTGAACCTAAAAATTGGAGCCTGATAAACATGCTCATTTACATATGTAAAGCATGTATGTAGTTTAAAGTCTAGTATGTTCTTCAATATTAAATTTACAAGTTCTAAATTTCAACTTCATTACAAATGTTTAATTACAAATATTTAAATATAGAATAAAATGTACATTATTATATAGCATTACGTATATTTTAGTTTACAATAAATGGTTGTCAATACATTTGGCAGTACACTTGAAACATTTAAAAGACAATTGCCCAATAACTTTACATTCATTATATTATTTCTACAAGTACTCTCTTTAAAAGTATTCTAAAGTCCTTGGAGAACCACTAGGGATCCTTAAATGACCTATTGTGCACTCAAGAATGTCAGCTTCAATGGATCCATTTTGTACAGTATGTTTCTCAGGGAACTGCCCTTGTTTTTGAAACGTGCCTAGAAATCCTCCAAAGGGTTTGATCAGTGTGGCTCAAGAATCTTGTCATTTACAGCATTTATTCTTAGGTTACCTAAGTTAACCTGCAAATTTAGAGAATGTAAGATCAGGTGTCAAAGAAGATGGGACAAAACCCCAAACTGTTCTGACAGAGAAGAAATACACTTCCATTTTCTGTACATGGGGAAGGTGACAAATCCCTCAAATGGGTACTGTACCAGGGGGAGCTGTGCATGCTTGACTTGTTCTCTGTTCCAGAAGAGATACCCAACATGACTGCGAGTCAGAACCCCGTGGAGCGGGTGGGCGAGCGGTTGGTCTTTCTCATCGTTAAGTGACGTACCATTGAAGACATGAGGGGAAGCACGGCCGGTCAACAGCAGGTTTAATAAAGCCTAATACATACAGAGACAATATGAAGCAATTAAATAGTTATAAGAAAATTTCACAGGGACAAAAAAAAAAAAAAAACACCTTACCTGTCGACAAACAAAGTTCCCCAAGCTCAAATGCAAAAGATGAGTGGTGGTACAATCGAAGTCTGCTCGTATCCTACAAATTCAGAGATTATGCTTAATTCATTCACTCATTTCATCCAATTTGGAGGTAAAATCTTGAAGTATTTCTCTTACACTGGAGATTTATGTTATAGTGTTTACCTGCAAGTGCAATTATTAATGATATTATTAGTGATAGTGTTGATCCTTAAAATATTTCCTAAATAATCCACATTAATGAATTAGGCATTGGTAAGATATTTCAATGTTTTTTCTTTTTAAGATAAGTATGTAATTGCTCACCAAGGTTACTGTACATTTATTTGATCAAAAATACAGTAAAAACACAAAAAGTGATATGGTGTAATATTATTACTGTACTATTTGAATCTGTTTTTTCCCCTGATTTTTAAAAATAACTTTTTTCTAACATTTGTAAAAGTATTAAGTAAAGGTAAATTGGAGACTCTAAATTGTCCGTAGGTGTGAATGCATGTGTGTGTGTGAGTCATGTAATAGAGAGGGCTGGGGAAAGACCTGGCGACCTACTAAGGAAAAATATAATTTACAAGAAAATTGGATGGCCCACAAGTCTGATACGACTGAAATGGTTATCGAATGAATGAAAATTATTTACTGTCACGTTTGATCAGCAAGGCTTTCTCGCTGAATATAAATAATAATTTCTTTCATGAAAACTTTTGAAAAGTTGTGTATTTCTGAGGACATACCTGTCAATAGTCCTGGAGAAGACAAGGCTGTATAGAAAAAGTATCATTCCATGGCTTCCTTCTTCCTTAAACTACAAACATTCAGGTGAAAGTTCATAACACAACATAAAGGTACATTTGATGCATAATATAAAGCATTGATAAAAAAAAAATATTTGTAATAAATAACAAATTTACCCACACATTGGATGTGCTCACATATAAAAGATCTAACATCATCTTTCTTTTTAAAGGTGAAAAGCTGCAACTGTGGAATAAAAAAAAAACACATTAAACAATTACGATATATTTGCAGTGTTGGGGGAAGTAATATGTTGCGAACTTGCAATATTGCATTACGCGCTAAAAAAGTAACTGTTACACTTAGTTTTTGCATGACTTTTTCTCACCTTGACTTGCTTGTTAATTTGTTAATTGGACCATCAAAGGTCGGCAGCAAAGACATTGCTTAATAAAGTGATATTAAATACATAAATTATATTTCTGTTATTGAACATTTAATTCATGCGGGTTTGCTTAATGAGGGATATGAGAGGAAGAAACTGCGGTATGCTCATCTGGCCACTGAAGCAGAACTGCGAGGATGGAGAGTCCAGGTTCATCCAGTGGAAGTGGGTTGTCGAGGATTTGTGGCTCCTCAGAGACGTTGGGTTGTAGAGTGTGCCACCATATTCACATTACCATATGAAAAGTTTTAACATCTACTCTTGTGTAATGGAAACCATGAGGATCTAGATATATCCAGTGACTGGGGAGAATAGTGCTGCTGGCAACAAGGGAAAGACTTTTTGACAGCCTGGAAAGACAGCTGACAGGAGACCCCAATCGGGCTGGTAAGGGTTAGCTATCCTTGTCAACAGTATCCAGCTCCGTGTTTACAGGATTCTGGAGACACCCACCCAAGGCTTCTGAGAAATTAAAGAGAAAAATACCCCTATAGTCTGCGAGAGTGGGGGCGGAAGATGACTCAATGTTTGACAACATGGTTAATGACTTAGGAATGGAAACGGATATGAGTATGGAGAGTATGACTAGTTCTCTGTTAGATCTAGTAGATCTGCAGTTAAGATCTGCAATTAGCAAAGTCATTGAACTCCAAATTTGTGTCTTTGGCCGGAGCAAGGTGACAATGGCCAGGGGGTTGAAAAATGTATCAAGGGAAAAGGAAATGATTGAGGGAGGGCCTTGACTGACTTAAGATACTGATGAATGCAAGTCAGTTGAATGAAATCCAGTGACAGGAAGCAAACTACAGCTTGCAGGATATCAGAACCCCTGTCATAGAGGAGAGGAGGGCTCGCACAGTTAGTAATGAACATATTGATACTTGTGAAGCCGGTCAGACTAACCAGCTTTAGAGAGAAAAGAACCTCAACGGGCATAGGCCTGGAGTTAGATGGCCAAGAGCTTGTGAGAAAGCTGCCTGGGACACGGTAAACACAGATCTATTATTTGCTTTGGAAAGGTTAACCGGTATAGTTGAAAAGAAGCTGTATAAATTTGGGGACATCATTTACGAATATGGAACATGAGAGGTTTGGTGTGGAAAAAAGGAAGGAAAAAGTACAAACTACTCCTGTAATGTATAGACGGCAGCAGCGAATTGAAGGGTTAGTTAGAGAAAGGAGACAGCTGAGGAAGCAATGGAAAAGGGCAGAACAAAGTCAGAAGGAGGGACTCAATCTCTTACAAAGGGCCATGAAAGACAAGCTAGCAACATTACGCAGAGCTGAGCGCCTACGGAAATGCTACAAAAGCAGAAACTAATTTCTATAAAGACCCATTCAGATTCGTAAAGAAGTTATTCACCAGTGAGAAGAATGGCACTTTAGAAGCATCTAGGGTTGAGCTAGAGAGATATTTGGAGAAAATGCATACAGATGCAAAAAGGCATGAACCTATGTCAATTCCATCAGGCATCCCACCTATCAATCCACCAGAATACCAAATGGAGGTCTGTGCACCTAAGAAAGAGGTAGAGCAGGCTATGAGAAAGGCAAGGGCTACATCATCTCCAGGGCGTATTGGAGTTTGGATTAGAGGTTGGAATAATGGCAGGATGCACCATTTCTCCACTGGCTTTTACCATGTCAATGGAAGTAATCATTAGGGCATCAAGATGGGTAGTAGGAGGAGAGTGCTTGGCTTCTGGGATGCGACTACCACCAATCAGAGCATGCATGGATGACATGACAACCAACAGTAGCCTGCACTAATCGGTTATATTGAATGGGCACAAATGCAATTTAAGCCCTCTAAATCAATGAGTATCTCGATAGTTAAAGGAAAGGTAGTAGATAAAATATTCTTCAGTAATGGTGAGGCAATACCAACAGTTTCTGAGAAGCCAGTGAAGAGTCTTGGGAGATGGTACGATGGGGATCTAAAGGACACAGTTTGAGTGGAAGACGTTAGACGACAAGAAGTGGAAGGGTTGAAGAGCATAAACATCTGTGCTCTACCAGGCAAACTAAAACTCTGGTGCTTTCAGTTTTTTCTACTGCCGAGGTGCTGTGGCCACTGACTGTGTACGAGGTTTCTTTGACAACAGTGGATAAGCTGGAAGCGTTAATAAGTTCATACATCAGGAAATGGTTGGGAGTTTCATGCTGCCTCAGCAGAGTGGGACTTTATAGTAAAGGAATATTGCAGCTGCCAGTCTCTGCTTTAACTGAAGAGTTTAAGTGCACCAAGGTCAGACTGGAAATGACCTTAGTAGAGTCATGCGACAAATGTGTAAGGGAGGCAGCCCCTGTGATAAAAACTGGTAGAAAGTGGTCAGCAAAGAAATCTGTGGTAGAGGCAAAGGCTGCCCTTCAAATTGGTGATATCATAGGACAGGTATAGCACGGAAGAGGGGGTTTTGGGCTCAGTTTACCTTGTCTTAAATGGCAAGGCAGGCCCAGCTCAAAGGAGGAAGCTGGTTGTCAACGAGGTGTGAAAGCAGGAGGAGAGGATGAGGTGTATAAAGGCCATTTCCCAGGCCAAGCAAGGAGAATGGATGAGATGGGAGAGTGTGGAACAATGCAAGATGGGCTGGCATGGAAGAGAGTAGGATCAGTTTCCTTATCAGGTCAACATATGATGTTCTCCCATCACCACAGAACCTAAACCTCTGGGTAGGAGATGATCCCTCTTGTCCTTTGTGTTCATCATCTCCCACATTAAAGCACATTTTGACAGGATGTAAGGTGGCTCTTAACCAAGGTCGATTTACTTGGCGCCATGACCAAGTACTGCGATGTCTGGCTTTAGCAGTGGAAGGGAAGCGTAACATGACCAATAAGTTACTACCTGTTCAAGCAAAACATTACATTACACACAGAAGACAATATTCCTCCGAGCAACCACCAAGAAAAGGTGTTAACACCAATTCTCGCCCAGGACAACTGGAAACTGCTAGGGACCGGAAGATTCTGGCTGATCTTGATCCACGGCTTATTTTTCCACCTGAGATTGCCACCACTAACCTCTCACCAGATATTGTATTGTGGTCTGGTTCAGCACGCATTGTTCAACTGATAAGAGTTAACAGTGCCATGGGAGGATGCGGTTGATGAGCCATATAAGAGGGAAAAACTGCGGTATGCTCACCTGGCCACTGAAGCAGAACAGTGAGGATGGAGAGTCCAGGTTTATCCAGGGGAAGTGGGTTGTCGAGGATTTGTGGCACACTCTACAACCCGGTTCCAGACTCAGATTCAGTGGCCAAGAGTTGCGTCGCACAGTAAAGAACTTATCTGAAGCAGTAGAGAGGAGCAGCAACTGGCTGTGGTTGAGGCGGAAAGATTCTGGCTGGCTGTGTACAGGCCGCCACGCTCCGGTTTCGTAAAGTGGTGTTTGATCAAATATTGTGTTTTGCGGTAGGTAGTATGCCATACGGAACTGTTACGCCTGAAACTACGTTAACAAAGACAGTGGGGCTCGACACCCTTAGTCAAATGGGTTGGCGTGTATGGTTGAGACCTGGGCCGATTGTGGTTAGGTCCCATGTGAACTAAGAGGAAGGAGCAGCCTCAGCTGCAGGAGGGATGTAAAGGTCAGTAAGCTGGGCTGAGTTGAGTGGGGGACGGGGACTGTCGAGCCCTCTTGAGGTGTCGTGGGCTAGTCGACGAAACACTGAGGATGGAAGGTGTCCACTTGAAGACCCTAGAGATGTCCCCTACTCGGCTCAATCCAGACAGTTGTCGTGCTGGTCCAGTGGGCAGACCAAACTGTAGTTGCATCCGTTGTGTGTGCTGACGCGCCAAGTACACTGCAGCCGTTAACGCCGGACAGAAGGGGAGTCACACCACCATATGGAAAGAAGCGTAAATGGATGGAGAAGCATAGTTTACTGTAAAGCTAGGTCTTAGTTTGTGCTTATCTTGGCGAAAGCCGAGTACAAATCAGCATGAAGTTTTAACATCTACTCTTGTGTAATGGAAATCTTAACAGTTGCATTTCACAGTTTTTATTTCTCTTGAGCAATACTGATTGTGTTTTTGTGCAAGTGAGATGCAAGTGAGAGGAAATGCATGTTCACATTTAGTCTAGAACTACAATCATCATCACACACAGCCCCCCCCCCCCCCCCCCCCTAACACTTACCCTCTCTGTGAAGCTGTCGAGTTTGTAGTCGAGGTGGGGGGTGAAACAGCGCTCGGACGTGACCAAGGAGACGGTAGCCGTCTGCTCCTCGCCAGCTGTCCACAAGATGTCAGCTAGAGCGGCTGCCAGCGCCCTCCTCTGCTCCTTCTCCCCGACCTCCAGCAGACTGAGAGAGAGAGAGAGAGAGAGAGAGAGAGAGAGAGAGAGAGAGTGCAAGTTGTTCTTCAATGAAAATCGTAAATCTTCCCCTCTGCAATAATTTCATTCCATTCAAAAAGATAGAAACTTGACGCAACAAACCTTTGCATTGTGCACATGGAGTTCCCTGGCTGGTTGAAGAGCAAGCGTTTAATAATATGAGCCTGAACCACCATCTGAATAGCACTGGCTCCTCCCTACCAGAGAAAACAGGGCACACATTTTGTACAGTTCTTTTACAAATTATCCATGTTAGTGAGTAATTTCTACAAGATAAATTCATTTAAATGTAATTACCCTTTCAGAATGCAGGATATTTTCATATTAATGATAAACTACAACAAACATGAATATAATTCATCCAAAAGCCATAATTAAAACTGTGTGTACACGTACACGTTTTTATAAAGTACACATTTTATATATTTAGGGAAAATTGTGCATTTTGTTGGTTATTTTTCTCATGTCTTTACAAATCCGTGGTCAACATCCAATACAGATAAAAAAGATAAGTGAAAATATTCTGCCTAACTTCTAAATTCATATGGGATTGGAGTGACCTGAAAGTGACTAAATCATAGAATTTTAAATTTTGGTAGAAAAATGTCACTTTATAGCTTTTTTAAATAAAAGAATACTTTTCAAAAGTGACAATATTTACAATATTACAACAGATTTTTGTTCTTTTGAACTTTCTCTTCATCAAAGAATCCTGAAAATATGGTTTCCACAAAAAAGCCACAAAATATATATTTTTTTCTTGAGCAGCAAATCAGCATTTTAAAATGTTTTCCGAAGGATCATATGACACATACCATTCAAGGGAATAAATTATATTTAAAATAAATGAAAATAGAAAAGAGCTGAAATGTAATATTTCACTGAATTTATTTCATCAAGTAAATGCATACTTGGCGAGCATAAAATAATTCTTTCGATAACAGGTTTAATTAGCAACATTAAGTGTTCAGTTTATGAACCATTTCATAAGAAATATAATAGTTTTTATTTATTATTTTGTAATGGTTTGATAGAGAAAGCTGATCTTGAATCAGTTGCTGGAGGCTCTTTATATAATTGTGCTTTCTTGTAGTATCTGTGTGTAATCTGCTAATGAATGACATGCGCCACACTTCACCACCTGAGGATAATGGGAAACATATTTAGCGTGCCAATGATCTGTGGTTAAGAAAGTGGCAACATTTCAAGCTCATTATACAATAATGAAGTGGCGGGAAGTGATGCAGTATTCAGACAATGGTGACGGGCTAGTCAGAAACATACTGAGTCATGGCTTTACCATGAAAAGAAGTGATCTACTAAAGCTCGTAACACAACCCTTCTTCACTGATATAACTTGCAGTTCTGGCAAAGGGGAAGAAACTTTATTAACGTGATCATACATAAGTGATTAACACCTGTCTCAAGTTTGTCAATTCTTTTTCCATTTCCAGCATTAGCAGGCATTTTGAGAACTTCTGAGCACTCTTAAGTTCAAACTGCATTTAAAATAAGTAAAAAAAAAATATTTCATTGTAAATAACATGCACTTAAGTGTAGGAAGTTTTCATTTCATATTCAAGTATATTATTTCCATAATAAAAATGGTGTACTTTTTTTTTTTTACAATGTTAACCAACAGTACCTGATAAGTGGGTTTTATTTAAACAAAATATTATACATATAATGTACAGGTTTTTTTTAACCATTGGCCATGATTTTACTAAATTAAAAATGAGAGGACAGTTTTCTAAAATGCGCATATCATTTGAAGAGTGAACGTGGATTAATGACATGTGGCATATAATAAATTCAAAATAAATTCTTAATTTGTGTAGACAATATCTCAATATCCTTTCCTTTTACCATGTTCATCATAAGAAGTCCAATTTTGTTTCATTTGCCATTTTTTCCTAAGCATACACTTTCGCCTCACTAAAAATGAAAAAGATGCACATTTGTGTCTTCAAGTAATTTAATATGAATTTTGAAATCTGAATGTTTTAAAACAATATCCTTCCAGTTTCCAGTGGTTTATAGCCAAAACTATTTTAATAAGTGATGGCTGAAAATGACAGATGAAGTTCAATCTCATACTCACCCTATCAGTCTCCAGAGCATATGCCATATCAGAAAAAGGCTCACGAAACTTGAAGAATGATTTCTTCCACTCGTAGTTGAATATATGGAAGGTGTTCCCAAATAAAATACTTCTTAAATTCTGTATGAGTGATAAAGCAAAATGAAATGTCAAAATAATAATCACTTAAAAAAAAAACATAGTAAATAAATGTAGTTATTTATTTAGGACACAAATCATAATCACATTTAACACATTGACACATTTATAAACCGCACATGTTGGCCAAAGTGCTTTGCATAAACAGCATAGACTATTCTAACAAGTTAGTCCTTTTTTTCCCGTTTAAGACGGTTCATAAGTTTTTGAAGATTAGCCTGATACCAAAAAGTAAGACTGATTACCTCCAACTAACTGTTAGTGGGTCAGACTAGCTCTTAAGATACAAGCCTGAATGAAGGCACGGTGGATCCAAGAGCTTTATTAATTCACCACATTATTTTATTAATTCCAAGAGCTTTATTAATTCACCACATTATTAATTGTATTTATTTTATTACAAATATTATTTCTTGTACCAAAAAAATACACATATAATATACTCCTTTTGCCATTGTTTGCTCCAAAAAAACATTGTGATTTGCGTAGATACGTAGATTTGCGTCAGTTCTCATGCTGTCTTGAATTATCAACTTTGAGGCAGAGACCAAGACTGCTTCATTATCACGTGATCCACTCGCTCTCACTCAATCCGCGCTTCCGACTTTGCTCTGTATGCAGGCAGCGATGTGATGATGCCTGATATGAACTTGGGTTGCTACATTAACTGAATGAATATACACTGGCATTACTTTGTTTTTTAAAAGGTGGGTGGGACAGGTGTGTGTGTGTGTTCATGTGTATGTGTCCTTGAATGGTCCAATGGTAAAATTTTTGCCGAGCATGTCAGAGGTTCTGGGTTCTAATCCGCACTCGTATAGGATTTTTTTCTCTCATCAAAACCGAATATGTTCATCAGTGGTTGTATTATATCAAGCAGGGACACGTTTGTGTGCATTTTTGTTTTGTGATTTCACCGGAACGAACAAAAGCGCGCGTGCATGTGAAGACTATACGTGAGCCACAAGATACACTGTAACCACGGCAACGATCGCAGCGGCAACGAGAACTTCTTTGATCTCTTGGTTTAAAAAACAACGTATTTCAGCGCTAGATCGCCTCTTATTTAACAAATGAACGAAATGAATTCTCTGCCAGCAGGGGAAGTTTGATTTATTTCTATTCGTAGCTACATCCGTGCCGCGAGAGGTTTTAAAAAGTGGTGGGGACAATATCGACCCTGGCAAAAAGTGGTGGGGAGTTGAGGACATGTTCCACCCGCAAATTACACCCCTGTGAATATGCCACATGGATATATCACAGCCTACCCATGACAAGATTTCACCGCACGTTACTGTTGCAGACACTATTTCGTTGAGGGCGTCTGTAACATCTATGATTTCCATTACATGAGAGTAGACGTTAAAACTTCATGCTGATTTGTACTCGGCTTTCGCCAAGATAAGCACAAACTAAGACGTCGCTTTGAAGTAAACTATCCTTCTCCATCCATTTACGCTTCTTTCCATATGGTGATGAGAATCTTCTTCTGTCCGGCGTTAACGGCTGCAGTCTAGTTGGTGCGTCAGCACACACGACGGTCTGTGGTCTCCCCAGTGAACCAGCACGACAACCGTCTGGATAGGCCTTTACCGCATCACAATAGAACGCCGGAAGTAGCCGTCAAAAATAGCTGAAGTAGTGTACTGCGTCTTCTGGTTATTGCGTTCGAAATGGCTGCCTGTTATCGCTGGACAACTTCGCTCTTGCATCTCCCAAAAGTTGGCCAAGGCGATGTGGTGCGACTCGTGAATGAACACTCAAAGGTAAAATCATCTAAGTTGGAAGTTCTTCTACGAGAATTTTGTCTTCAATTATAGAGGTAAGTTAGCCTGGTTCAACCAGACTCTAGTTCATTTCATTTCCACATAGAGTCTGGAACCGCTCCATTGAGAAACGTTTTCTTCCTTGTAGGCGGGTTCACTATTAAAGTTCATATCTATTGGATCTGCCCAGAGTCACTCACGATCTGCCATAGCCAATCGCTAACGTGTGGTCATGAGTGACGTATGTCACGCGCCGAAATGGCTGGAAACAACAAGTCTGAATGATCAGAGGATTATGTTTACAATAGGATTTCAGTCAACGAGCGCCGCAGGTTTTGTTAATCTAGGAACAATTATTAATTCGAAATGTATATTTGACACGAAGGACGGTGATATATACATCCAACGGTGGAAGCTGTGTCTAATCATTACAAATACGCCGCTGTGGTCGTTTTCTGATCTGCCGCAAATGCTGTAGCAGCTACAGTGAATGATCAGTCTTGTCTCTATCTGCAGATGTGTAATAAACAACTATTTTTCATTTTACGTCGTATTGTTTCTTAATTACCTTAATTATGGTCTTCAAAGTATGTGTTTGTACATTTTTATGTGGCATTTAGTTTTTTTAGTAAAACAAATCAACCATTGCCATCTAAAACTGAAAATCAAATATCTTCAAAGTATGGTTTTCCACATTTTTATTTATGACAATTATTTTTTTAAAATCACAACCAATTTGTATGATTTACAACATGTAAAACTGACACACCAACCTCCTGCACGAGTGCACAAAGGGGCTCAAAATGTTCTATTCATCACAAGAATCAGTAAATTTACAGTTGGGAATCTGAGCGACTGACATGACTCCTGAGCGGATCTTCAACAATAGTTTAGCAGCCAGGACTCGGGGCTTCCGAACACCGCGAACACCAGGCTAAACCGTCCGTCCAAAATGTCACGGTCATCGTGCACGAGCTGCCCAGCACAAACTTCCAAACTTTCTGCCTCCTTCACTTGGTCCTCAGTTGTGCAACAAGAGGTGAGACGATAACAATCCGGCTTTAAATTCTGTATATTCGGCAGTTTCTTTTCCAACAACGGACCGAATAGCTTTTCTCACGTCTTTCTCTGCTGAACTCAAAACTGACGCGCTTACATCAACGTCATCGTTCTCAGCCACTCCCTCTATTCGCTGATTGGTCCTACAAAAAATTGATTTCTGGAAAACTAAGGATATGGAGCGATCCCAGACGTAGTACTGAAGTAAAATAAAATTGAGCGGAAGTGCGTAGGAGGGCGCAGCCAGGCTAGAGGTAAGTAGCTTGAATTCTGTTCTGTTGGCGAGCTATCGCTAGCTTGTTATGTTTAGTAAGCTAGTTAATCGTCAGCATGTTAGAAAGGTTCACTTCAAATACAGCGTATCCTATTTAAATAATTCGAACAATGTGACTTTTTTGCTTTCACTTGAGTATGTCAGTGTCAGTGCTCATTAAACTTTTGCCTGAGGAGGTAACCTCTAGCTAACGTTAACGGCGCAATGTTTTGATGATCACTTTGGCTACATTAACGATCCGAAATGCCGTTGCGGCAGTGTAAGAATCACAGCCAAAGGTTAAGTTGTATGTGGTTAAACATTTAATCCTTTTTCAGTATGATGTGTGACTATTCCCCCCTTTTATTGCAGTGTCAGATTTAGTGAGTGAGGAAGTGGTAGTGCAGGCGAGCTGCTACCGTTCTATGCGAAAGAATGAAGAGCCACATACACTTTAGGTTACATTGATTGTCAGGAAGTTCAGGCCGAAATCATGCTCTAGTCTAGTTCCTAACTTACTCGTCAACATGCGTTACTGGCTTTCTGTAGTCTTTTGTACATGATCAACAGGACATCATGTAGATAGTAGCCTAATCTTTCTGATCCTTGGGTGGATTTCATCAGATTTACAGTTTGGATCCAGACAGTGTCACAGTACCAAATTACCCCAAACTTGTAATGTGTAGTGAATAGAGCACGGTTTCAGACCTACTTTGTACAAAGGTTCAGGTGCATTTGTTCAGTATGTTTTTCTTGTTCTTCTGCTGTTGCAGATCAGTAACTCTGCTTTTTTGTTAAGCTGTTGCCTTTATTTTGTTCAACCTAGTTTTACAATAACGTTCCTTCCCAGTGTCAAATAAATTCTAATTACTGTTTAGGCTAAACATCCAAACTTTCCCTTAAGTAAATACTCTCCATTTCTAGATTGTGCTCCATGCTGTTAGACCTGTGGAGTTAAATGGATGTGTACTGCTGGAATGGCTTTATGCAACCATGTGGTTGCACTCCTGTTTCAAACGGCTCACTACAGCACCATGGGGCTGAAAACTGTGCCAACCCCACTGTCCTGCACCAGTGTGCTTCAATCATGGCACCGTCCAAGGACACAGGCAAGTTTGTCTGATGCAAGTTGTGTCTTTAAAGTTTGTAAGTGCACACTGTTGGAATACTGATTCTGGTGTAGATGTTTCTGCACAGTGTATCCATATCCTACGCCTCATCCTTAAGGCATAACGCACTTTCTTCCTCTCATATGCTTCATCTACCGCATCCTCCCACGGCACTGGTAACTCTATCAGTTGAACAATGCGTGCTGATCCAGACCACAAAACAATATCTGGTCGGAGGTTAGTGGTGGCAATCTCAGGTGGAAAAATAAGCCGTTGATCAAGATCAGCCAGAATCTTCCAGTCCCTAGCAGCTTCCAGTTGTCCTGGGTGAGGATTGGTGTTAACACCTTGCGGTTGCTCGCCTGGGTGGAGGAATATTGTCTTCTGCGTGTAATATTTTGCAGGTCAACAATTGGTCATGTTATGCTTGCCTTCCAGTGCTAAAGCCAAACATCGCAGTACTTGGTCATGGCACCAAGTATACTGACCTTGGTTAAGAGCCACCTTACATCCTGTCAAAATGTGCCTTAATGTGGCAGGTGATGAACACAAAGGACAAGAGGGATCAGAGGTTTAGGTTCTGTGGTGATGGGAGAACATCATATGTTGACCTGATAAGGAAACTGATCCTACTCTCTTCCATTGACCAAAGGTCTTGCCAGCCCATCTTGCATTGTTCCACACTCTCCCATCTCATCCACTCTCCCTGCTTGGCCTGGGAAACGGCCTTTATACACCTTATCCTCTCCTCCTGAGCCCAAAATTCCCTCTTCCATCCTGTACCTGTCCCATGATATCACCAATTTGAAGGGCAGTCTTTGCCTCTCCCACAGATTTCTTTGCTGACCACTTTCTACCAGTTTTTAACACAGGTGCCACCTCCTTTACACATTTGTCGCGTTACTCTACTAGGGTCATTTCCAGTCAGACCTTGGCACATTTAAACCCCTCAGTTAAAGCAGAGACTGGCAGCTGTAATATTCCTTTACTATAGACGAATTCGGCGAAACTACCGGAAGTAAGCGGGCGCCATTACTGAGCTGTTGCTGGGTAGCGTTGCGCCATTGCCTCCTATAGTTTTAGTTGCAACTTGCGTCCACTGGAATAAACAGCCCGCGATTTACGACTGTCACTAACATTACAACGTTAGCCCTTGTATAATGTCGAGTGGGTAAACAGTTTCCGTTATAAATTGTTTCTATGGTGGCAGTAAAATTTCAATTTTGAAGAGAAAACATTGTGAATACCCCGGGTCGACTGCCCCTGTCTGGAGCCGTACGGTTTACAAAGATTTCCTGGGCGAGTACAAGACGCGGACATTCGCGTATAATAACAATTATTTAATGACATAAGTAAAAAAATATAATAAATATGTGATATAGTGATCAGCAAAATCTCCTCTCTTGCTATTTTTTCTATTCAATTTACATGCTATGGTCATTAAATGGCTTTCCTGAGCTAAATGTAACGTTATGTGACATAATTGTTCTCCTGCTGTTATATTGACCTCTTTCCATGGTTTAAAAACACCAATTGGTCGATATTATGTATACTTTCTAGCTCTAACGTTACATTACCCTTGCCCGTTGCAATGTGAAAATCAGATAAATAATGGACACAAATGAAAAACATGAATTTGTTTATTTGATTTCATTTATTTATTTATTGTTGCCAAATGGACAGATCTTTATATAGTTTCCTCGTTAGCAAACGTTAGCCTAGCTAGCTTGCCAAGCTATTTTCATAAATAATCTGTAAGATCGTTTGTACCTTCACCTGTGACTGGAGGCCGCTGTCTAACATCATCAACCCAACAAGTCATTCTGCCTGTCTGTAGCTGTCATCGAGGGTGCGTTCGCGTTATCACCGAGGTTTGTTTACATACCGGTGCATATATCTATGCCGGTGTAACAGCTCAGTAATGGCGTCGCCACAAGATGGCAGCCTACACAGAACGCTCGTCGGATTCGTCTATAAAATCCCACTCTGATAAGGAAAAATTAAATGAGAATATATATATTCCCTTGATCAAAGCTGAATTTTCAGCATCATGAGTCCAGTCTTCAGTGTCACATGATCCTTCAGAAATCAATCTAAAATACCGATTTGATGAGCATATGAGACAATCTTTCAAAAACATTAAAAAAATCTTAATTACTCCTAACTTCAGACCAGTGGTGATTGTTTATTCTAAAACACCCACTATAACCTGATCTATTGCTTAAAGTCCTAATAAATAAGTCACGAGTCTATATCCCGTCTTTTGTCTTCGGTACACACACACACACACACACAGCACAAGTCTGTTGTGAGACACATGGGAGGCAAGAGAGCGAGGGTCAAGTGACAGGGTCATGTTCCACAACTCACCACCGCCAGCTCTGGTGACACCGGTTGCCCACCCAGACTTGGAGACACTGCGAGGGTTTGAGGAATGGAGTACGGCACTGCGAACAGGTTGTTTGGTGCACTGACGTGATGGGCCGAGGTGGCCGGTCTGGATGAATCATCACTGTCCTCATCAGCTTTGATCTTCTCGCTAGGTCTCTATAGACGTGATGAAGAGCGGAGACATTTAGCAAAGCATTGGGCTTAGATAAAACAAGAGTGAGAAACAGAATTACAAAATTATAATATAATATATAAAAAGTGAAAATGTGCAGTTGTTACAGAATATTGAACCTTCGAAGCATAATCCAAAAATGTTGAATAATTTTTTATGTTTTTGAATCAACTTATGCTCACCAAAGCTGCATTTATTTGATCAAAAATACAGTAAAAACTGTGATATAGTCGCATCATTAGTCCAGTCACGTTATCCTTCAGAAATCATTTTATTATGGTGATAAAGAAACAGTTCTGATTATTATCAATGTTGAAAACAGTTATTTTTGTGGAAACGGAAAGATGGGGGAAACTGCTTTTTGAATAGAAATCACTTTTGTAATATTATCAATTTTAACACTTTTACTTTTGATCAATTTAATGTGTAAAAAACAAAATCTTACATATGCTTAAAATTCAGCTTTGATCACAGGAATAAATTACATTTTAACGCATATTCAAATAGAAATCTGTTCTTTTAAATTGTAATACTAAATTACAATATTATGGTTTGTACTGTATTTTTGTTCAAATAAATACAGCCTTTGTTAGCATAAGAGTTCTTTAAAAACAACATTTTTTTTTTTTTACAACTTTTGACCAGTATATAAATATAATTTGTGCTTTCTCTTTCCATTCTCACCCTCCTCCTGAACTGTGAGCACAGCTCTTCACATCAAGCTTCAATGTTAACAGAAATCCCAAAAGCACAGAGTTACTAATCTTAGGAAATGATGAATGAGCATCAGCGGATCAGAACTCACGTCTTGGCTTCTCTTCACTTCCTCTTGAAGAAGCTCTATGTAGCTCAGTCTGGAGTGCTGCAAACTCTTGATGGTTTGCAGAAGGTCCTGATAATCCGTCATGACTGCTTTACATGGACTGAACTATTGCATGCAGATTCGATTTCGCACATGGCATTAACAACATGCCCAGTAATGCCTTCCAGTTAATGTGGTACCAAACCCACACAGCTCTACTCCAGTCAGTGATACTGAGTTTGTTGAGAGGATGGTAGTCACACAGTCACATGCATACACTCGTCTGATTGGCTGACTGTATGTCATGGGAGAAATGACATACAGCCACCTGAGAGCACAGTGTCGGCAGTATCAATTATGGAAAAATCACACGGAACCACAGGAGAAGGATGTTAACAGAGGGTACGTTACAATTACGATTGCAAGGCTTCGCACAGATACGTTCTGCATTAAAACGCACTGCATGGAGCACAACAGAATGTTTCAGAACACAATATTAAGACGCATTTTTCAATGTTTAGCTGTTTAAAAGGAACAGTTCACCCGAAAAACAAAATTGTGCCATTTCAAAATCATAATTGTTTTTCTCTCTCAAAGAAAAGAGGTATACATTTTATAGAATGTCATTTCTATTCCAATGTACCATCCCAGCTAACAAAAGTGTTCTAAAAACGTTTTGCTAACATTCCCATTTAGTTATCAAAATGATATATCTGAATGTTCTGAACTTCCGGGTTGTTTTTTCTTCTTGGTTATGCAAACATTATGGGAATGAGGGATTCCCTTTTATTATTTTGCTAACATTATGGGAACGTTCCTTTGAAATGTTTTCTAAAATAAAAGCTTATATTTTATTTTAAAGTGACATAATTCCATTGTAGTCAAATAAATGAGTAATATTAATTAACTATACATGTAATTACTATAGAGTTTAGGGTTACTTGTAATTGTTATAAATGATTTGCTGTTCTTATATAGTAAGTTAGTCACCTTAAAACAAACAAAATGTAAACAAAACAAAAAAACGTTTTGCGCTAACGTTGAGAACGGTTTAAAAACCACATAACGTATTAAAATGACGTTTAATAACTTTGTTAACGTTACTGGAATAATATACGTGGGCTACATAACTTTAAGAAAGCCTCATACTTTGAAAAACACTTTTATGTTGATATTTCTTTTTTGAAGCTTCACCATCTTGCATTTACATTGGCTACATCTTCAAACTTTTTCTATTTGTTTCAGAGAAGGCAAGTCATACCAATTTAAAAAGACATTAGGGTGGAATAAATGATGGAAACACAAATTTGTCATTTTGTAAACGTGTGTAGGTTTGTTTTTGTAGGCGTAAAACGAAACGCTTGTAGGCTTAGAAAACAACAAACCACGTCAGACTTACTTTAACATAGCCTTGTTGCAAGTCCAACCTGTAAGATAAAGACAGGTTAATGGATGTTCTCTGGGCAGCAGAAGGAGAGAGAGAGAGAGAGAGAAAGAGCCCGTGTGTGTCCTACCTACCCGCGGGAGTTAAAGATGTCTCTCCATTTATCCAATTCCGCGATCTGCTGGAGGATTTCATCCAGTTCACCGCTCGCGTCTCCATCAGCGTTCATCTGCAGGTGATGACAGGAACATCACATCAGCGGCGCGAGTACTTTCCTGACTCGAGTTCACTAGGATTCCAGGTCAAACAGTCTAATGACTCCCCCGGGTTCACACAACAAAAGAATAAATAAGTCAGACAATTGCGTTCAGACCGAACGCGTTCTGGCGTTTTTCTCTGAGCATCGTGTTTTAACACAGCGGGTCAACAAGACCGAGAGAACCGTTCAGTTCCGTTGCGCTCGTCCTTGTGAGCGCGTTAATGTGCATGAATGAAATGATAGCCTACTGTACACTTTTATTATAGAATAGAGTAGGCCATATTTAGTAGTAGGGTATTTTGTTTGTGAACTGTTGTGTTAATTAGAATATAATTATGATTCTAATGACCCACCACCCTGTACTGAAACACCTGCAGGTGTTTCAGTATTTAACTCTCTACACTGTAAAAAATTTGGAGTAGGATTTACTTGAAAAAACCTTGCTAAACGATCTCACTCAGAAAATGCTAGTAAATTTACAAAGATTTGCCAAGTAAAAATCTAAACATATTTATCAGTAGCTATAATTAGAAATCTTTAAGTTAAATTTACTTGGAATATGGAATTAAGTAAACTTTACAAAAAAATAAGTAATTTTAACTCAGCTAGTAAAGGGTTAAATAATATAGATTTCCTTTGCCTTTGTATCACATTTCACTAAAACAATAATCTTGAATTTTATTAGTCATTTATATGTGCTTTACTTAGATCATCTAAGTAATTTATATATACATCATGTCAGATTTTAAGCCTCATGTGAATGCAAACACCTCAATACTTGGTAGACAATACACAATGGCGGTAACATTTGATGGGTCGTTTTTGTGTTTGAATGTGTCATTTTGAGCAAAAAATTTACTCGAAATGTCACAAAATGGCAATTTACTAATACTGACAACAAAAATCAATGATAAAACAGTGTAAATACACCTGGAAACCAGTGAAAAATGAGCCTCATTAATTATTCAAGGTTCAGTGCATGATGGGAACCCCAGTATCAGAAAAGTTGAGTAATTTTTACTTAATTTTATTGAGTTGAGATTTACACTTTCATTTCTACTGGCTTGAATTAAGTACTGATATGGAATTTACTTAGTTTTTTAAATTCTTGTCTGAACTAACTTTTTCAAGTAAATTACAGTAATTTTTTGACTAGTATTTACTTCACCAAAAATCATTTTTTACAGTGTACGATTCAATGTGGAATGTCTGACAGACAAGAACGGTTTGACCTAAAAATATCAAAATTGAAAATACTGTGGAAAGACACCTACATCTTGGATGCCCTTGCGGTAAGCTAAAACATATCAAAAAATAATTTCAAAGTGAACGATCCCTTTAAGTGATTTATCTAATTTTACTCCTTAACAACTTATTTAATATGTGATAGGCTACTTAATATTTAAATCATTCACAATTCTTCTGTTTCATCTCTTATAATACCATTCTAACTAATAATAGCAGGATAATACAAAATTATTTAAAATATTATAAAATGGTAAAGGTGAAGAAAGCAGGAATGATTTGTGTGTTCCAGAACTCTTTGACATATGGTGCTTCGTGTGTGTGTGTGTGTGTTAGTACACTAACACACACACACACACACACACACACACACACACACACACACACACACACACATATATATATACACTATATATATATATATATATATATATATATATATATATATAGATAGATGCAAATTGTAAAAATATTGTAAAAATAAAAACGAAAACAACGATTTTACTTTTTGCATCAGATTGATAGGATTTGGATAAGATTTGATATGCTTGGATAAGACTATAAAACAAGCCTCCTTGTTTTTATATACTATAGACATTTACAAAGATTAATCTGTTCAAAACCATCCTTGCTTTTTGCATACAGTGCCATCTACTGATCCTTTGTAGACATTAACGCTATAGTTTATTTTAGTAGTGGAAACATATTATTTTGTAACATATTATATTATTTAACATATAAACATTAGTATTTTGCATTTAGAAGATGTCTACCAGTAAATTAGCATTTCAAATCTTATCCAAAAAAATTAATAAAAAAATGCAAATGCTGCAATATGAAAACCATGCTGTCAGGTTAACCAACCACTGAGACTGTGAAATATGACTGTGTTCCGGAAATAAAGCTGATGTGTCATGTGTGAAAGCGGTTGAGAGGTCATGTTTTTGCCCTTGCACTAAATATGTAAAAGCAAGTTAAACATATATGTTGAAAACTTGGAATATTTGTAAGGCAACAAATTGTGTAGTTATTAGAGTTTGTTTCAGCTTATTCTAAAGCATAAGCTAGTACATAAATAAATAAAAAAACATTTAAATCATGGCTGAATTCACTCTTATGTTTTTCATTGAAACTTTTTGGTAACAATTTACAATACGGTCTCATTTTGTAACATTAATTAATAACATGAACTAACTATTAGCAATCACAGATTGCACATGTGTCTGCAAGATGTCTGTGCTTCATCTGGAAAGCATCTGCTGTTCACTAACATCTGATAGACAGATATCAGTTGAACATACAGTCTAAATCATTATATCTTAAAGATATCTTCTAAACGTCTATTTAACATCTGACAGGAAACGTCCAATAGACATATTTGAGATGATTCTTATATATATTCTTACAGCATTTATTAATCTTGTTAATAAACAAGAAATGTAAAGTGTTACCAAGTTTTTAAAATAATTTTGAATATGAGGTTGAGCTGTGAATCCGGTCCTGCTTTAATTTAAATACATTTCCTTTGAGTTTGGACACTATAAAAAGTAAATACTTGACAGATTCGCTTAAAAATTGGGTCAACCAATCTGCCAGATAACCACAAGACCAACACAGTTCATCCTGTCATTACTGCATTTCATCGACACTGCAAAGCCACATGTGTTAAAAGTACAAGCCTACCTTATCTCTTGGCTGAGGAGAATCCTTTAAACTCTGGCAATAGCTCAAACCTCGGTGTGAACGACCTCACCAAAACATTGCTTATATAGCCGACACTTTATATTCAGGAGGTGGACAGACACATGGCTTGACAACACGACAGAAAGCCTCCTTTCATTTTACAGTTTCCTGGCAGCAGGTGGAGTACTTTGTTTCTTTTCTGTTGCTTTAAATCCTGTGGTAACAAAGCTGTGCTCGTAAATGCTGTCTTCAGTGACGAGAGCTGCTTTTCTCCTCTTTCACTGTATTGTTTCTGGAGGCTTCAAACCTCCCAAATACATTCTGTGTTCATAAAATGTAAACTATTTACAAAACGGGCATCCTTCTTTGTTTATACAGTACAAATACACAGCAATGCGTCATAAAGAAAAACTGAAACTAGTTCGTAAAATTTTATTTTGAGTAAAGGCACAGGATTCGCGGTAAACAAATCTTTTCATGATTAGTAATCACAACATTTTTTCTTTTATCAAATCAACTTAAATAATTTATTTAGTTCAGATAACATATAATTTTGAGTTTCTGATGATTAAATTATTCTCCTTCATTGTATTAACTCAATTTTCCATTTCAATGAACTTAAAATTTTAAGGCAAACAGGTTACTTATTTTTTACGTTAAACCAACAATATTTTTTTTTACAGCCGGAAAATCTGCACTCCCATAACAACGATGAAAAAGAGTGTTTCAGAATTGATATCTATGCTTAACATAATTGTGTATTTTTGAAAGAAAAAAATGTGTATTTTTGGCCCCTCTCATTCTATATCCCAATAATCACAACTAATGAGTACTGTATGTCAAATAACTAAAAGTACAGTATGTTACGTTTAATTATTATGATTTTGAATTGACTTAAAATCATGTAAAAACAGAGTTTAGGAATTCAATTAGAGAATATTTCATCGTATACACACCAACAACTGATCCGTTAAACGTTGAGTTATCATTATGGCACATTTGCACAATGTGAGTTTATAAACAAATAACACAAGTAAGAATTAACCATTCATGAACAAGAAAATACAAATAGATTAAAATAATTGAATAACCTATTAGTAGTTAAACGTAGAAGATCTAAGAAGTGATAAATCAATAGCAATGACCACATACACACTGCAGTTAAATTCGGTTGTCAGTTCACCTTTTAGTGATTAATCCTTTACAACCGAAAATTAACTTCCGAAAAATGCAGGTAGTGACAACCGCATTTACAAAAAAGTGTGTACGCAACGCAACCGAACTGAACAACTAGATGTTAATTACATGTTTAAACGCCCATCAGAGATGTGTCTTTCTTCTGTATGTGTACGCCGCAACAAAACAACAACAACAACAAAAACAGTAAAAATGGTGAATCATTCAGGTTGCCAGATCTTCCTAGAAAAAAATGCTTTATATTGAAAACAAGACCAAATTATCACAACCAGCACCTGTCCACTGTAATATTTCCAGAAATTGATCGCATTACTAACCAATCCCAACAATCCCAAAAAGGTGTATAACAGGTGGACATGGCAACACACCAAGAGCGCCCTCTGCATAGCATCCTTAAGGCCACTTCAAACCAAGGACAGTAACTATAAAGATAATGATATAGATATAGTTCTCACAATTTAAGAACAACACACCGCAGCTAAAACGATAACGACACAGAGAAACGATATCATTGGAATCACTTTTCACAACGATTTAATCCAACTGATGAACGATAAAAACATTGAAAGCCAATCAGAATCCATCCTGCTGTAGGATCCATCCTCAAGCATTTAAAGTGACAGGCAGGCACACGCTTAGAATAAACAGAAACAGAGCGATATAGTCCCTAACATAGTTCCCTATCAGTTAGCCACACTCAACGTTACTTCAGAATTAAAGTGACAAATTGGGATATCTTCTGTGAGCGTCGCGACGATATATATTATATAATCTGATTTACATTCGGTGCCCTTTTCTTTGAAATCATGTCCGTTCTGTTTTGTTAGTGTATTTAGGGTCACTTCTTTGATTTGGATACTTTGGACACCTACTGATGAAAGATGTGATAAAGCGGTCATATATTCATCGGTCCTTAAAATGCGGACGCAAAGACACATTTTTGGATGCATTCAACCCCAAAATTGTTTTGCAGTGATCGATCTGAAGGATGTGTACTTTCATCATGTCTCGATTCTCCCTTGACATAGTCCTCTCCTTCGGGCTGGCCCTGTCGCCTCGTGTCTTCAAAAAAAGTTGGATGCGGCCCTTGTTCCTATTTATGGTTTTCATTGTTGGTGTGAACGGGCCTTTACAAGCATAAACAAAACATGACGCCTCAGGAGATTGTGGTACAGTAGCAGGACATAACGAGTCTTTGGTCGCTGAAATATTACTTTTAGTCAAATTACTTTTGTTGTACTATTTAAATGCGGCTCGCACTCCTGAAATTTTACAGTGTGTATTTGTCCAATGTTTTACATGTATCTGAAATGCTAAAGACATGGTTGTTGTTGAATGCATTCATGTGCCTTATGTGTTTTTATGCATTTCAATGCATGTTTTCTTTAAATGATTTGTAGGCAAATATCAGAAATTTAAATATAATTTTAAAATGGCTCTAAAAACACACATAAAATCTAATACCCAGTTTGCAGTGCGTATGCGGTGCATACTTTTTTCCGTACCCATGTTAACAGGTCAGAGCTTTCACAATGCAGTCCGTTCCAGGTACGGTGTGGATACAGCAGCGCAGAGATCGTTTCCGTGCCGAGTCTATTTTTGCTGTGCTGCAAACACTGAAATAAAGTGACAGCGCACGGTTCGCTGTCCCGTCTATATTGGATCCGACAGGAATTGTGCAACACACAGACTCTGGGTCGATCATGTATGGGCGAATCACTCCGGTTGCCATTTTACAACATTGGACGTTTCCAAAACAATTTCCCCCAAGTGGATTGACTGGTGAGTTGAAACTCATTATAATATTCAAAACTGTTATCCACTCACAGCAGTGGGCGTTTACTTCCAAGTCTTCAGTGCGAGACGCCCATAAAAACCCAGCGTTTTTCAGTTAGGCTCAAAACTAGGGTATAAAATAGCCTATTACTTATTCATTTGGATGTTTTTGAATGCAAAAAAACAAGCGAACGTCATAAGTTGACCTCAGACAACAATATAATAAAATTTAAAAAGCCAGTTTCTGTCAATTTTAAGTTTTAATTTAAAATGTTTGCGATTTTAATATAAATACATGGTTAAATATTTGACCACTTGCTTGAGAAACTTAATATATATAAAAGTAATGCATAGAATTACAGGCCTACGTTGTTTGAATTGTGTTTAAACGTGCATTGAAGTTTGTAAAAGTGTACAACGCTGACAAAACTTTTATTTTAATAAAAAATGCTGCATAGCTTCTGAATTTGAAATATAAATAGTGCCCATGTGTTTGTGGTACAGCCGCAGATCAGGGCCATGTCAACTGTACATGAATGATTCTAGATCTCATCTTAAAGCCAGTGTTATTTTAGTATCCTTGATATACTTTGTTACATATTTTCAAATGACACTTCATTTGAATGTTTTCTGTTTTAGTTTTAGTAACTTTGTTGTTTGTTTATGAGGGTTTTTTATTCAGGTTTAGGTTTTACGTTTAGTTTGATTCATGACTTAAAATATTTCAGGTTTATTTTCTTTCAAGTAATGAAAATAATGTTGTTTTAAACAGTTTCAGCTAACACGGCTCAGAGCTAACTTCACATTTCTAAGCCGTTTTTGCAGATTTTTAGTGGGTATATAAACAAACTTCTTTTTGTGCTGCTTGGCTTGATTAATTTGTTATCTAATGCAAAGACATTCATAAATATTTAAGTGTGGCTTAAGTGTCAAAATACTTTTTGGAGTCACTGTAGAATTGCCAATTGTGGCATCCCTTTGTGCTACAACAACCGGACTATGAAAGATCCACAGTGATGTCCCCAGCTAGACTGGAAACTACAGGGTGTTTTCATCAGCCGTTTGAAATGGTGAGTGTTAATTGTTTCAGTGATTGACAGAATGAATGAAAGAGAGAGTTTCTCGCTCCCACCTCCCTGCTGCGAGATAAGAACCCTTCTCTCTCGCAGACACACGAGCGTCTCCAAGTTCACCGCCACACATGGTCTGAATAGCTTGAGAGGCTCAGATGTGCCTTGCCTGGTCAGCTGTAAACAAACCGGATGCTGCTTTTCTGAAGGCTCCTGTTGAGAAGTGGCAGTCGCTGCGGTTGGATGACGTGTGCAGGGGAAGAAGTAGAACAAAAGAGCTGGTCAGTACATGAGATCCGCAGCTCCCGTGCTAACGTCGGACTCTTTGGCCTCCTGAAAGGGGAACTGGATCCCAGCAAGGCGGATGAGCAAGATGTTGAGACCGTGCGTGAGGAAGGCGAGGAAGATGAGCCAGAAGGATCTGTCGTACCTCTCGCTTTGGGTCTTGTAGACGAAGCTCACCTCGTTGAAGTTGAAGATGATCTCGGTCAGGTGATGCAGCTTGACCTCAGAGGAGAACAGAATAAGGACCAAGCAGCCACAGAAACCTGGAAAAAGAGAGAATAATACGTTTCGCATAATAGAAAAGCTGTTCTTTGTGGAAGTTTGTTTCCACCACAGAATAAAAAAAGTCATTTTCTTGCAAATGCGAGTTTATATCTCACAATTCTGAGAGGAAAAAGTAAGAATTGTGAGTTTTTAAACTCGGGATTAAACACAGAATTTCCTGTATCTCAAACAGTAGAGCGTTGGTGCTTGCAACGCCAAGGACATGGGTTCGATTCCCAGGGAAAGCAAGAACTGATAAGAATCTAAATGTGTACCATGAAATGCAATGTAAGTTGCTGTGGGTAAAAGCGTCTGCCAAATGCATAAGTGTAAATGTACAATTGTAAGATATAAACTCAAAATCGTAAGTTATCAAGTCTGTATTGCGAGATATAAAGTCACAATTCTGAGAAAAACAACATGTTAATTGTGAGATTTTTTTATTCTGTGGCACAACAACGCTATCTCACGACCAATTCGTGTGAAGTTTGTATAAGTGAATAAAAGGTGGCTAATTCGTTTAAATTCATATAATTTGTGTAAACCCACGTGATGCGTAGGTTTAGAGGCGGGGTCAGTGGTAGGTCATTCGTACGAATTCATACGAATTGGGAAACTCATAAAATATGTGCGATTTACCAAAAATCGTACATATGAATTCGTACGATTTGTCTAAACCCACGAGATGCGTAGGTTTAGAGGTGGGGTCAGTGGTAGGTCATTCGTACGAACTCATACGAATTGGGAAACTTATAAAATATGTGCGATTTACCAAAAATCGTACATATGAATTCGTACGATTTGTCTAAACCCACGTGATGCGTAGGTTTAGAGGCGGGGTCAGTGGTAGGTCATTTGTATGAACTCATACGAATTGGGAAACTCATAAAATATGTGCGATTTACCAAAAATCGTACATATGAATTCGTACGATTTGTCTAAACCCACGAGATGCGTAGGTTTAGAGGCGGGGTCAGTGGTAGGCCATTCGTACAAATTCATACGAGTCGGGAAACTCATAAAATATGTGCGATTTACCAAAAATCGTACATATGAATTCGTACGATTTGTCTAAACCCACGAGATGCGTAGGTTTAGAGGTGGGGTCAGTGGTAGGTCATTCGTACGAACTCATACGAATTGGGAAACTTATAAAATATGTGCGATTTACCAAAAATCGTACATATGAATTCGTACGATTTGTCTAAACCCACGTGATGCGTAGGTTTAGAGGCGGGGTCAGTGGTAGGTCATTCGTACAAATTCATACGAATTGGGAAACTCATAAAATATGTGCGATTTACCAAAAATCGTACATATGAATTCGTACGATTTGTCTAAACCCACGAGATGCGTAGGTTTAGAGGCGGGGTCAGTGGTAGGCCATTCGTACAAATTCATACGAGTCGGGAAACTCATAAAATATGTGCGATTTACCAAAAATCGTACATATGAATTCGTACGATTTGTCTAAACCCACGTGATGCGTAGGTTTAGAGGCGGGGTCAGTGGTAGGTCATTTGTATGAACTCATACGAATTGGGAAACTCATAAAATATGTGCGATTTACCAAAAATCGTACATATGAATTCGTACGATTTGTCTAAACCCACGAGATGCGTAGGTTTAGAGGCGGGGTCAGTGGTAGGCCATTCGTACAAATTCATACGAGTCGGGAAACTCATAAAATATGTGCGATTTACCAAAAATCGTACATATGAATTCGTACGATTTGTCTAAACCCACGAGATGCGTAGGTTTAGAGGTGGGGTCAGTGGTAGGTCATTCGTACGAACTCATACGAATTGGGAAACTTATAAAATATGTGCGATTTACCAAAAATCGTACATATGAATTCGTACGATTTGTCTAAACCCACGTGATGCGTAGGTTTAGAGGCGGGGTCAGTGGTAGGTCATTCGTACAAATTCATACGAATTGGGAAACTCATAAAATATGTGCGATTTACCAAAAATCGTACATATGAATTCGTACGATTTGTCTAAACCCACGAGATGCGTAGGTTTAGAGGCGGGGTCAGTGGTAGGCCATTCGTACAAATTCATACGAGTCGGGAAACTCATAAAATATGTGCGATTTACCAAAAATCGTACATATGAATTCGTACGATTTGTCTAAACCCACGTGATGCGTAGGTTTAGAGGCGGGGTCAGTGGTAGGTCATTTGTATGAACTCATACGAATTGGGAAACTCATAAAATATGTGCGATTTACCAAAAATCGTACATATGAATTCGTACGATTTGTCTAAACCCACGAGATGCGTAGGTTTAGAGGCGGGGTCAGTGGTAGGCCATTCGTACAAATTCATACGAGTCGGGAAACTCATAAAATATGTGCGATTTACCAAAAATCGTACATATGAATTCGTACGATTTGTCTAAACCCACGAGATGCGTAGGTTTAGAGGTGGGGTCAGTGGTAGGTCATTCGTACGAACTCATACGAATTGGGAAACTTATAAAATATGTGCGATTTACCAAAAATCGTACATATGAATTCGTACGATTTGTCTAAACCCACGTGATGCGTAGGTTTAGAGGCGGGGTCAGTGGTAGGTCATTTGTATGAACTCATACGAATTGGGAAACTCATAAAATATGTGCGATTTACCAAAAATCGTACATATGAATTCGTACGATTTGTCTAAACCCACGAGATGCGTAGGTTTAGAGGCGGGGTCAGTGGTAGGCCATTCGTACAAATTCATACGAGTCGGGAAACTCATAAAATATGTGCGATTTACCAAAAATCGTACATATGAATTCGTACGATTTGTCTAAACCCACGAGATGCGTAGGTTTAGAGGTGGGGTCAGTGGTAGGTCATTCGTACGAACTCATACGAATTGGGAAACTTATAAAATATGTGCGATTTACCAAAAATCGTACATATGAATTCGTACGATTTGTCTAAACCCACTAGATGCGTAGGTTTAGAGGCGGGGTCAGTGGTAGGCCATTCGTATAAAATTCATACGAATCGGGAAACTCATAAAATATGTGCGATTTACCAAAAATCGTACATATGAATTCGTACGATTTGTCTAAACACACGTGATGCGTAGGTTTTTAGGCGGGGTCAGTGGTAGGTCATTCGTACGAATTCATACGAATTGGGAAACTTATAAAATATGTGCGATTTACCAAAAATCGTACATATGAATTCGTACGATTTGTCTAAACCCACGAGATGCGTAGGTTTAGAGGCGGAGTCAGTGGTAGGCCATTCGTATAAAATTCATACGAATCGGGAAACTCATAAAATATGTGCGATTTACCAAAAATCGTACATATGAATTCGTACGATTTGTCTAAACACACGTGATGCGTAGGTTTTTAGGCGGGGTCAGTGGTAGGTCATTCGTACGAATTCATACGAATTGGGAAACTCATAAAATATGTGCGATTTACCAAAAATCGTACGAGTGAGGTCATATGAATTCGTGCGATTTAGCCACCTTGTAAAATTCGTACCAATTGCCGTTGGTTGGGCAGAAACAAGCTTCCCTAATTCTTAAAAGGTTAGTTCATATCACCTAAAAATTTAAATTAGGTCATTTTTCTCATGTTTTTGAGCTACATTGAATGTCAATGGGGTCCAAAATAACATTAGAATTTTATTGACTTCCATTGCACGGACAATGTATGTTGTTGTATGTGTTTCCCTGAAAAAAGAAAGTCATAACGTCTTGTACTGATGTAAAAGATTCATATTTGTGTGATCCATTTAAAGTCATCATAAAATCAAAATGGACGATTCTTAATTTATTTTGGAAAACTGCAGTATTTATTAATGATTTATACATGCACATCACTTTTTTTTAAATTAATGTATCCTTGTAATGTATAATCAAAATAGCTTCTGCTCCCTCTTCTCTTCTCTGATGATGTCACTCACACAAGATCCACCAATAGTAAAACAACGACCGCCCAATCCATTCCTAATTGTCAAAATCAAGTCCCGCCCCACATTTGTTCTTGTTCGAGAAGCCGTTTCACTACGTCACAATAAAGAAGAAAAGAAAATCGCAACTTCCGTTTCATGCTGGCTTTAAATGAGAGAAGTCACAGAGCCACCATCGTTGAGTTTAGCTGTATTCTTGAAGCTTGGGTTTTTACCACATCCCTTTACTGTAGAGGAACTTTGCTTGACTTGTCACTTATACGTGCACTTTATCTGGTAAGGTATAAAAGATACTTTATCTACATTTAGCCTTTTAGAGCCTTCAATTACAGCCCAAAACAACAGTTCTGTCTGCTCTTTTTCATACAATGCTAGTGATTCATCCTGTGAGTCTCCAAAAAGGGCAGACAAGTACCTTAAAAAGTTCATATGACTAACACTAGCATTTAGTGTTGGGCGATATGCTCCATTTTCAAATCGTCCTATCGTCAGCCTGTGAGATCGGCGATACACGATATTATCGTGAGGGGGCGGGGCTAACTTATTTGATTATTAACTTGATTATTGAGCCTATCATTAATTTGCTTGTTTTATTAGCCTACTTCGTTTTATATACGAGAATCTTTTTTCTATTTTCCTAGCAAAGGTGGAGTGTTTATTAATAGGATCAGGTTATTTCCTGGTATAGTGAGGTAAAAAAAAAAGAGATCCTAATCCTTTTGTTTGTCAATGGGAAATTTACGGACACATAGCCTATTCTCATGCCGTTACATGCAGCATTTTGACTAGGGTCTATTTCTGCACGAGATGAAAACACGTTTTAATAATTTCTTGGGTCAGAAAGAGTCGGAGTTTGCGATATGTGCCTCCCTACCAGTGCGCTCTCTGCGCACTTCACATGCGCACTTCACAGTAAGCACGAAGTACGCGGGTTAATGTGTTTAAAGCCTAGTTCACACTACGTGATTTTAAGCCCGATTTAAGCCCGATTTGCAAATCGTTGAGTCGCCGACAAGTCAGGGTGTTATCGCGTGCAAATCGCGGGCGATTAGCGGACGATTAACGCTCGCCAATCAGTTAGTGTGAAAGAGCCAACAACGCATCAAAGACAGCTCGCAGACAGCTCGCAGACAGGTCACCGAGCTCAGAAAAATATCTAGCATGCTAGATATCTCGCCCAGTCGCGCGACTCAATCTCAGTGATGTCATGAGTACAGCCAATCATAGCAACGCATGGGTTGAGGACACCAGGTAAATCTTACTTTTTCTTTTTTGCATTTTTTTTTCTCAGAGCAGATCGTCGAGCAAACAGTGTGCAGCACTAGTTTCTGTCTGACGTCCATATTCGCGTGTTGTGTTCTTCTCTGCAGTTTCGCGTCATTTCTGGTTCGTTTTATTGCGTGGTTTTTCGTTACAAAACATGGTTTCTAGACCAGATAGAATCGTGTTGTTGTCAACTCGTTATTTGTTTGATTATTTTCAGGATTTAGACCGTACTATAGTACTGAAACAGCTCTCATTGAGTCACAAATGATATGCTCTTATCATCCGATCGTGGTTGTATCTCTATGTAGTGCGTTGTTAACTCGTGTAGTGAGTTACCTCCTGTTGTGGATCAATCACGTTGTGTTGTGTGGTGTGAACAGCTAAACAACTTGAATACTCATGATTTCACTGAGAGCAAGTCATGTAGTGTAAACTGCACAGTTCAGCCCGACATTTTAAAATCATGTAGTGTGAACTAGGCTTTAAATGCCGATAGAAGAGCAAGGGCCAAACGTCTAGCTGAGTCGATCGGTTTATACTTATACTTATGACTTGACTCTGATAAAGGAAACGTTTACATGACCACATGCATTGTCAAGTTTATTCAACATAATCAGGTTAAGAACGTCGTCGCATGTAAACGCGCTCTATCTCTGAAAGTGAAAGTAAAAACGGACTGCTTTCGGCATCTGCATTAACGCCGCGTTCCCTCAGAGACGACGATGATAACGGTAACTGTAATACTATTTTAGTGATGTTATTATTAATACTATTTAGTAATTGTATTGTTTTTAGTGTTAGTGTCATTAAACGTTTTGTTAATGTGTTACGGAAACAAATACTGACGAACAACGATGCCGTTTTCATCTTGGATCTGTAGGAAATTGAATTTTGCGTCTGTTAAAACGAGCACACTTGATAATTTGTGAATGGATCACCTTGCAATTAAATTTTGATGTGGGATGTTTTTTAGTCTGTTTTAAAAACATTCTCTTAGAGGAGTCCTCATTAGTGCGTGTGTTGTTGCAATTGTTATGAGATGATGTCGTTGTAAATTTAGGCAAGGCAAATTAATTGTAGTTCCTTATATTCATTTAATAACAATACTAGCTTTATAATAATAATAGGCCTAATAATAATAATTTAATACATTATGGTAAAACGAGCCAATTATCGTATTGATATCGTCAAAGGCATCTGCCATCGGCGATATGTCAGACTATCGTCGATACACGATACTATCGTCTATCGGCACAACCCTACTAGCATTACTTACTTCAAACTCCCTTTGGAGTTGCTATTCATTTAATGATCAGTCATGAGAACCACAAACGCAGAACAAACGTCATTGATGTCTTGGTGCAACACATTTAAATGCACACAAGGTTTTTAGTACGATTGCTTCCCCACACTATTGACAACACATAACGGATATTTTTTGCCTGCAGAATTTCGCTAGCGTAACCAAACCATTACGGGACCTTTTGACCATTTTGGATCTCAAAGGTAGAAATCATCATCCACTTTCATTGTATGGAAAACAGTAGCTAATATGTTCAAACACACATCTCCTTTTGTTAACTTCTTTGAAAAACACAAGGGTGAGGAAATCACAGAATTGAAATAATATTAAAGGAGTGATAAACTGAGATATCAAATTTTCCTTGAGCGTTTGACATCTAAGAGGTCATCATATTATAAGAATATCCTGTAAGTTTCAGAACCGAAAACATCCTTGTTAGTCCAATAAAAGCTTTTATTGACACCAGCCTCAGCAAACGACTCGTTTTTCAAAGTGGGGAACTATGACGTCAAAGAGGATAAAACACCAACCCCGCAGAAGAAGACCAACGCCTACCAACACGGCCGGTTTAGCCCCGCCCATTGATTCGGCATCGACATCGGCCACATCGTGATGACAAACCGGATCGAGCTACCGAGCTTTACGGAATATTGTGCAGCGCCTGGTTGTGCAAGAAGACAGTCCCTGCATAAGCTTCCTCTGGATTCCAATAGGACTGCATGGATAAACTTTATTTTTAATGACATTCCAGCTGATGAGGTAAAACATCGTCCGTCTGTTCGCTTCATTTCACTGAAGATTGTTTTGTAAACAAGACTGGATTTGCAGATCGATTAAGAGTAAAGAACGGTGCTGTGCCGTCTATATTGGATCTGACAGGAATTGTGCAACACACTGACTCTGGGTCGAACATGTATGGGCGAATCATTCCGGTTGCCATTTTACAACATTGGACGTTTTCAAAACAATTTCCCCCAAGTGGATTGACGGGTGAGTTGAAACTCATTATAATATGCAAAACTGTTATCCACTCACAGCAGTGGGCGTTTACTTCCAAGTCTTCAGTGCGAGACGCCCATAAAAACGAGCATTTTTCAGCTAGGCTCAAAATTTGGGTACAAAATAGCCTATTAGTTATTCATTTTGATGTTTTTGGATGCAAAAACCAAGCAAACGTCATAAGTTGACCTCAGACAACAATATAATAAAATTTAAAAAGCCAGTTCATGACCACTTTAACATTTCAAAAAAATATTTAGTTAAAAGAGGTATGGGTTCAAATTAAACTTTGAATGGTAAATATATATACTGTATATATATATATATATATATATATATATATATATATATATATATATATCAGTCCCTCCAGAAAAACGCGATTATGCGATCGCTGAATTCAATGCAAAATCAGCCAAAGTCCGCATATTTATGCGGGGGCCGCATTTTTTCAAATACGCCGCACTTTCGGCGCATAAATTGCCGATTTCCGTGCAAAATATGTGGGGTTTGCATAATTTCATAATCCTCGCATTTTCGTTGCAAAAAAAATCACATGTATCGGCAGAAAGTTGAAAAATGTTGCGTTTGCTTCACACAAGAGCAGCCATTTCCCCCTGTTTCCATGGGAACGTTATGAAGTGACGCAATTACGCGACGCCAGACAGACTCACGGAGGCGATTGACATCTCACAAATCGAACTCGTATAACTGTCTGTCACACGTTCTACCGTCACATCGTTACTTAATAAACAACATAAGATAAAAGAAGTAGCATCAAACAGAAATTACCCGCACACATGGGGGGTTCGAGGTGCACATATAACACTGCAGAGAGTTCAACAGGGAGCGCGCAGCTCTTAAAGGGGCCACACCTTATTTACATTCGTTACAGTCTGAAATAAAACAAGATGAGAAATTAAATATTCCCAGCACTTTCTATGATGTAGTATGCTTGCTTATCAAAGGAAGTAATAAGAAATGACTCTTACATTAGCCTAGTGAGAACAGGGGGGGGAATCACTTTTTTTCTCTTTTTCATCAAACCGCAATTTTTGCAAGTTCCCTCAATTTTTGCAAATTCCTGCAATCGCATAAAATTGCATAAATATCCTGCATATTCTTTCCATTGCTTTTTTAAAGAAAACGGGGCACGTAATCAAGGATTTTTGCCCGAAACAATAACAAAAAAACTCTGCGTTTTTCTGGAAGGACTGAATACTATTATGGTAAATGTTATATATAAATCGCAAATTTTTTCACAAATTTTTGGAAATTACCACCACAAAATCAGTCATTTTGATCGCAAAAATCACAAAAAAAAATCGTGAAATCCTGGAGGGACTGATATATATATACTGTATATATATATATATATATGCTGTACACTACTTCGGAATTGCTATTAATCTCCAAAGTCTAACACAGTATTCTTTCTTCCTATCACTGCAAGTGATCCTGCTTTATTTTTTGACTTAATGGTTTAATTGTGTGGACAGGTCAAATGGCCTCCATCAGTACAAACACAACAGAGGCACCTGACACTAGAGATGGAGTGGAAATCTGGCCAGTTCCACCAAGCGCATTCATTTCCATCACTTTACTTATTTATGATGTCATTTATCAATTCTCTCTTCACGGTATAGCTGAGCTCGCTTTCTCACAACTAAACAGATAAACAATCGCAGAGGCTCGTTCCTGTCGTGGTTCAGTATAGACCCAGTCTGTGTGGATGCATGTGTGAAATATTCATCACATACTGTCTGCAGGATCTGGATTTTTTCTCAAGAAAAAAGAATTCAAGCATCTATTGACCTGAATCTATGAACTTAAGTACATGTTTAATGTTATTATATTTACTTATTAATTGTATTTACAGTTTTTGTTGTTATTTTTCATCCAAAAAAGTTAAGGAAATCTGGCATCCCATGACACTTATAAAGCATCCCAGGATGAACTTAATGGAGTTGATTGAGAGAATATCCAGAGTGAGAATCACGTGTGTGTTTGTGTGTGTGTCTTACAGGTTATCATGTTCCAGAGGTAAAGGCCCTGGGGTCCATGCAGCGTCTCATATGGGCTTCCAAAGGCATTGAAGAAGAAGAACCCACAGGACACAGAGGAGAAGACGATGAGCACTGCGCAGAAGAAGATGACGCTCACATGTAGACTGGCTGGAACCACGTCCATCAGGTCAGGAAAGACTGCGGAGTAAAGAGATTTCTAGAGTTCAAACTGTAGGTGAGGGTAAGGCCACGAATCATTATGATTCATACGTGCGTAAAATGTGCGGTGAGACAGTTTTTCATTTGTCATCATTGTCTGCAATCTCACTGCCTGTTGCGTGTGTTTCCTGTTATATTATATTTCCTGTCATTATAAGATTCACTGACATTTTCACTCAGAAATTGCAAGTAAATTTCACAAATAATTACAAAGAATTGGCATTTTTTACAGTTTGAGTGTGTATGAAATGAAAATGATTTAAAGTAATCTCTGTTCATTTAATATTAGCAGTTTTATCTTTTTAATATTATTGTGGGATGCTTGGACATGCGTCAAGGAATTATGAAGTTGTTTAATTCTGTTTGTGTGTCGATATGTAAGCATTTATTTATGGGATAAATTTATGGAGATATGCAAAGACAATTTCCTCTCTGTGACAAAGAGAATGGAGAATAAAATTAAACTTTCTGTCTCCATTTCTTATGCATCTCCTTGTGAGTAAAAACAAATTTATAATGACAAAATGTTAAAGGGGGTCAGTCATGGCCAAATGGTTAGAGAGTTAGACTGATTCTCAATACCAGCAGGAAATGACTAACCCATACAATCACTCCTCAGGCGCCACAGCCAAAATGGCTGCTCAGTGCTCCGGGTGTGTGTTCACGGTTTGCAGTGTGTGTGTGTGTGTTAAATATGTTCTCCTAATGTGTGTGCACTAACGTGGATGGGTTAAAAGCAGGGAGATCTTCTGAGTATGGTTTGCCATACTTGGCCTTCACCTCACTTCACTTTTGTTCTACTAAATGTCTGGCTCTGGTATCTGGGTTGTTTCCAGATCTCATTAGGAAAGAATCCTGTTGTACACGAAGCTGTCATAAAAGATCCATCAGTTGAGCCCCATTCAATGAGTCTAGTGCCTCCCAAAACTCAAACAAACACAAAAAAAAAAAAAACCTGAAAAGCTTCATATTACTTGGTTTTAAATGAATCAGATGTCTCTTAAAGCCGGCCCTTTGACTCTTAAAAGTTATTTCAACGGGACTTACTTGCTATGCATGCATGTGTGATTACTTTTGGAGGATACAGGAACGATTTTCCAAAACAGGTTGATGACTGAAAAGGTGGTTGTGTGTGTGTGTGTGGCCTGGTAAACCCTATATTGGTTAACACAGGAGAAGATGTCCCATTTGTTTGGTCCCCATGAGAAAAATAGTGTGATGTTTTTTTTTAAATGTAAAAAAAAAAAAAAATTGTGATGGCAAGAGTTAGATTTAGGCGAAAGAAATTGGTTTCAACTAAATCGGTTTCTACAGTATAAAATGTAATAAAAAAATAATTATGTCTATATATATAATTTGAAAGAGGTGTGTAACATGTCAGTGGCCTCAAAAAGTATTTGGACATTTAAAGGGATATTTCATCAAATATTTTTAAATTCTGTCATCAAGTACTTAACCTCACGTTGTTCTAAACCTTTTAAACTTTCTTTCTTCAAGCACACAGAAGAAGACAATTTGAATATTATATTGGTTGCTCTTTTCCAAGCTTTAATTCTGATCTTTTAAGGCTTCAAAAATAAAATAAAAATTATAAAGGTAGTCCACATGACCCATGCACTATACCAGCCTTCCGATACCATATAAAAACGTAAGGGGAGCAAAAGATAAATTTACATTGCAAAATCACAAACAAAAATAGTGGAATCAAAAAATGTGGCATCAAAAAATGATGCAACAGCTTTGCAACCACAAAGACTGTAAATCATACTGTTTTATGATTTACCACATTTGTGAATTGTTATAGGCTATAATAATGTGAGTGTCCAAATACTTTTGAAGGCTTATTGCAATTTGTCTTGTATTGCATTGAGAACCTGTTCTTAGTCTTAAGATTCTTAAGACTTTTACTTCCAGTGTCTTAAGATGATTAAGTTACTCACAAGAGAAATAAAAGCGTCTGTCTCCCAGACCACACTGTTTCATCCCCTTCCCGTGGAAAAGCCCGTAGGTCGCGCTCCCGATGAATTTCTCCAGCTCTGCTCCCGACGCGTTCACGATCTGTGCGCCCGTCTGACACAGAACAGCCGCTTGAACCCAAAACTGAGTCCCCATCGCAGCTGCCACGACCAGAACACAGCCAAAGCAGAGCACCCCTCCGATAGAGAATATGATTTTCTTTTGACGGCTAGGCATCGTGTTTTGACTCGGCGACGAGCACAGCCTTAATCAATGGATGTCCACACGTCAATATTCCCGTAATGCAGTATGGGGAAAGACATTGTGCGGTTGTCGATTTCCCCTCAAGTCTAAAACATGAATGCTATAAAGTGACCTGAAATGCTCAAATACACACGTTGAGAGAGTAAAGTTGTATCCCAATGTCTTCTCTGGATAGTGTTACGCCAAGCGCGTTCACTGCACTCCGTCATCACCAAGCAACCGGGTTGAATGTCTCGCACCAGTGATCGGGCATGATGTGACCTTACCCTGGATTGGTTACTCTGGATCCACATCTCTTTCGACAATTAATAAAGCAATTTCACTGCTACAGTTGAACTTTAAATGTGGAGTTTATCGTGTGTGAAATGATGGATGATTTACTGGGTAAATTCATTTAGTTAAATTTAGTTCCCATAAACTAAAAATAAACAAGTTCTACACAGCATTTATTCATCATGTTCATTTCAGCAAATGCTAATATTTTTTTTTTTTTGAAAATCAAGTTCCATTTGTTAACTTAAGCTAATGCATCTGAAATTACCAATGACAACAATGAATTATTATATCATATGGGCCGTGCAGAGACCTCTCTGGAGGGGCAGGTGCTCAAAGTATAAAATGGGGCACATGGAAACAAGGCTTTAAATAGGGCTGTGCTCAAAATATCAATACAGTAATATATCAATACAGATGATTCTGCATCGATACAGCAGCAAATGCATTGATGCAGTTTTGAAAAAGAAACAGAACAGAAAAGACAAATTTAAAGTTTAAAATTTAAAAAAATAATTTATGTGCTTTATATATAACTCTGGGATTAGAAACTGAAGCATCTTAAGTTGTCCCAACCTGATGGCTTTTTCTTCTCTGTTATACAGAATAATAAAGAACAGCTCTTATAGTGAACTGTGTAGGACAAAATTAACGTGGCCCATGTTTTGTGCAGTACAGTATAGTTTTATTTAATGGCATGTCACCATCTGTGGCTATTTTCATGGCAAAAATCTGATTCACAAAAATACAAGAGTTACATTTTATACGATGAAAATAAAAAAAAAGCAAACAGAAACAGCAATTAATACTTTACAAGATTTTTCACATTAATGATTTAATGGAATGTTTAACTATTGAAATTGAAATGAAGAAACAGAGGAATATTGTTGTTACATGTATATATAGAACTCCAGGGTCTAGCATTACAACATTTAATAACAAACTGGAGCAATTATTATTTGGGATTAATGAAAATAAAGTGTCTATAATTTGCGGGGACTTTAATATAAATCTTTTGAATGTGTCTAATCATACTGGTAGTTTAGAGTTTCTTGATTTAATGTATAGCAGAGGCCTTTATCCCACCATTACTAGGCCTAGCCGAATAACTTCCAGTTGTGCCACATTAATTGACAACATTTTTTTTAAATAAAATTGATAAAACCGTTAAAAGTGGTCTTTTGATAAACGACACAACTGATCATTTTCCGATATTTGTAACTTACCTCTGTGAAGTAAAAACAAATAAAGATAAGTCTAGTAAAGTTATTAGGTTAAGAACGGAGGAAAGATTAAATAGATTTAAGGATGCTCTTATGAAAGAACAATGGGATAATGTTTATAGTACAAATAATGTTAATAAGGCTTATGAATTATTTGTTGAAAAGTATCTATGGTTATATAACAAAAATTGTCCTATAAAAACAATGAATAATAGAGCAAGAAATAATAAAAAACCTTGGTTAACGAAGGGTATATCGAAAGCGTGTAAAAAGAAGAATAAGCTTTATCAGGATTTTGTAAAATATCGGACAGCTAATGCAGAAAAAAAATATAAAGCCTATAAAAATAAGCTGACTTCTATAATGAGACGTGCAAAGAAAGATTATTATACAAACTTGTTGATAGATAATAAAAGTAATATCAAAAGAATGTGGAAAGTCTTAAGGGAGGTCATGGGCAGTGAAGTAAATTGTTGTCAGCCATTATACTTAACGAATGAACAGAATCTGGAGATAAGTGGTGGAAAAATGGCTGATGAATTTAATTCTTTTTTTTGTAATGTCGGTCCAAATCTTGCCAAAACTATACCACTACATAATAAAAATAAAAGCTGGACAGGTGAAAGTAGAGTCATGCAATCTCTCTTTCTTGATGAAGTTGGTGAGAATGAAATTATTTCTACTGTATCTAAATTAAAAAGTAAATATTCATGTGATAGTGATGGCTTAGATATGTATATCGTCAAAGAAACTATAAGTTGTATTAGTAGACCATTAAAATATATTATAAATTTGTCTTTTACTTTAGGTTTTTTTTTCCAGAAAAAATGAAGGTGGCTAAAATTATTCCCTTATTTAAATTTGGTGATAGGCATAGTCTCACAAATTATAGGCCTATATCGCTGCTTTCCCAATTTTCGAAAATTATTGAGAAGCTTTCTGTTAAAAAATTTGATTGTTTTCTTGAAAAAAATTCATTGATACATGATAATCAGTTTGGGTTTCGAAGCACCCGCTCAACATCTATGGCTTTGATGAAAATCACAGAAGATATTACTACAGAATTGGAAAAAAAAAAATCATACGATTGGTGTTTTTATTGATCTTAAAAAGGCCTTCGACACCCTTGATCATGGTATATTGATATCTAAATTACAGACATATGGAATTAGAGGTGTAGTATTAAATTGGATTATTAGTTATTTAGAAAATAGACAACAATATGTTGAGTATTTAGGCCATGAATCTAAGTTGGAACTTATTCAATGTGGAGTCCCTCAAGGCTCTGTGCTGGGGCCTAAATTATTTTCTTTATATATTAATGATCTCTGTGAGGAATCAAAGATTTTACGTTTTGTTCTTTTTGCAGACGATACAAATTTTTTTTGCATCAGGGAAAAACTTAAACGTATTAGTGAAAACTATTGAACAAGAATTGGTCCTACTTCAGAAATGGTTTAATAAAAATAGACTGTCATTAAATTTAAGTAAAACAAAATTTATGCTATTTACAAATCAAAAATGTTTTGACAATGTTAGTCTGAGTTTTAATGGAATAATTATTGAGAGAGCGTCAGAATTTAGGTTTTTAGCAGTACTCATTGATGAAAAACTTAAATGGAAGTCACACATAGCTTATGTAAGAAATACAATTTGTAGAAACATTGCCGTTGTGAGTAAAGTAAAGTTTATGTTAAATTGTAAGGCAATGATAATTCTGTATTGTTCTTTTATTTTGCCATATTTGATGTATTGTTTGGAGATTTGGGGGAATTCTTATTTTACAAATTTAGCGCCCTTGTTTATTTTGCAAAAAAGGGCTTTGAGAATAATTCATGGAGTTGCTCCCAGAGAACACACTACAGAACTGTTTCTGGAGTCAGGACTACTTAAATTGAAGGACTTGGTTTCTTTACAAACTTTGTTAGTTGTTCACAAAGCTAAACACTGCCTGTTACCGTGTGGACTGCAAACCCTTTTCACTTTAAATAGTGAGACAAGCAGAAGAAATAATGACTTCAAACAACCTTTTGCTGGAAATACCCTCAAACAAATGTGTGTTTTAGTCTCTGGTGTGAAAAGATGGAATCTTCTAGAAAATGATCTAAAATGTTGTTCAAATATCTTACAATTTAAAAATAATTATAAACAAAAGATACTTAAAGTCTATAAAGAAGAATGTGAAAACTAATAGAATTATTACAATAATTATGCTTTCGTTGCTATTTTGGCTGTTGGATCTGTCATGATTTTATCCTTGTTGGTTTTGTTTATCTAGTATCATGTAAGCAGAATTAGTATTAATAGATAATAATAATAATATTAATAGACAAAGAGAGAAAAATGTGTTCTAATTGAAGGTAGATTATATCTGGTTTGGGCTTGTCGTATATGTATGTGTATATGCATGTGTGTATATATATATATATATATATATATATATTTTTTTTTTTTAAGTTTTCTGTTGTTTGTCATTTTATGTTGGTGAGGTCATCTAATTTGTAAATCTTGTTTATAGGAATGGGGTAGGAGCTTATAAGATTTTTTTCTTCATCCTACTCCTGTTCTTTTTTTGTCATGGAATGTACTTTGTGTTGGTTTGATTTGTTAAATTGTTCTTGTGGTATTTCGTGTTGCATTACCATGAAAAGAGAGAATAGAAAATAAATGAAATGAAATGTGATACCTGTTCTGGTAAATTCTTACTGAAGTCCTTAAGTGAGTTTGCTGCCTTTGCTGTTGATGTTGTTACTGCTACTGCTGCTGGAGTTGATCTGAGACTGTAGACATTAAAATAAACAGAAATATAGGGTATTAGCTGATTTTTATATGACCATGACAAGATGTAAAGATTGCTGACAGTGTTTGGAACTGGCTCACTATAGTTCACTGACCTGCTAAAGCTACAGATTCTGCCCAGGCTGCTAAAGTATAATATTACAATAGAATAGTATATAGAAACGTTACAGGGGAGATGTTCACAGAGGCTTCTGCACACAAAACATAAGATACTAACTGGTAAGCCTATGTGATAACTTACCAGAGTTGTGATAATAATTTGTATGGCACTCCACGTTATTTAAATAAATACTATAATAATAATAATAGTTTAAAGTAAAAAATAATAGTTTTTAGTCAAATAACACCCCTCCACGCCCGTGAAACTTTTCTCCCTCAAACAGCAAGCTAACGTTACTTCTACAGCTACACACAGCAATACAAACAACATCTCTCTGCATGCTCTCTTCACGTCGTTCTAGTAAAATAATAATAATAAGTAAACAAACATCAAAATCACTTCGCTGAGAATAGAACACCACTTACCAGCAGCCGCAAGAGCTGAAGATATCCTCTGGGAATGCGCGATTGCGCGTAGCCGCGCGAAATTAGAAAATGCGCGTGCAGCGTGAGGAATCGTCCCGGATGAGTTTGTCAGGTGAAAGGTCATCATGTGGGTCATTTTATTTACGGCTAAATTATTATTCATTCATTTTACTACTAGTTAGATTGGGCAGGCATCCACAAAAGTACCTTTAAATACAAAAAAAGGAGAGTAAATTTTGTCCTGACAAAAGGGCAGGTGCTCGAACAACCAACGCCCCCCTCCCTCTGCACGTGCCTAAATGCTTAACAATTCTAACAGTCTTTTTCTTGTAGGCAAGATAAAAAAAAAATATTCGAGATAGCATTGTTGTTCCTCCTTTCCCACGAATATACCTTTTTTTTTTTTTTTTCTCCAGACCAATACCCTGGATACGTGTTTTTTTTTTTTTTTTTTCGATAACATTAGAAGATCTCACTAAACTAATTCGCTCTATAAACACTATTGGCCATTGTGTGATTTCTATAATTATTAATTCACTAACATCTGCTCAGGCTCCAATTTATTTTAAACAAGCTGTGTTCAACCACCAACGACAACAACAAATTAGAGTTCAGAATTATCGACCACATCTCTATCCTGTGGTGTTCCCCAGGGTCCTATTTTGGCCCCTTTGCATTTGCTGCCTCCTGAAATTATGAACTGTTCTTTTATATTGTATAAACTCTATAAAAGTTTAAATGGCAAAAAATTGAAATACTCTGCTGGTGTTTTCCCTAAGGTGAGGGAAAGTTTTGGCCCTTTATCGCTCTCTGTTAAACTTATAAGTTATGAAGGGTATACCCTTCATAATTTATGTTTTGATCAACAAGTTAACTCTCTGGTTCGTACCAGTTTTTATCAGTCGAGAAACATTGCGAAATTGAGGTCAGTCTAAAGTGGAGATGGATAGGATCATACATGCTTTCATTTCCTCCTGCCTTGATTATTGTAATTCTCTTTTTACTTGTCTTAGTTGTTCATCCTTGAAATGATTACAAGTGGTTCAAAATGCTCTCGCTACGCTTTTAACTAAGTCGTCAAAGAGATCACATGTAACACCAATTTAAATGTCCTTACAATGCCTCCTATGTTAGATTTACAGTTCATTTTAAAATCCTTGTGATTGTGTTTAGAGAATTGCAGGGCCAAACTCCTGTTTATATAGAAGAGTTGTTGCGTTGTTGCAAACTCCAATAGGAATCTGAGATCCTACGGTCCAAATCGGTCTTGTTGTCCCTCGCTCCAGATTAAAGAGCATGATCAAAGATCTGTGGACTTTGTGGGCACGTTTAAAAAGAATCTAAAAACTCTATATTACTTTGTCTTTTATCTGATTGTGTCTGTTATTTTAACATACTCTAGATTTTGAGACACAGTCATATCATCAGAGACGTGACTAATAGAACTGACATCAATGGCCCCCTTTTCACTCATTTCTGGGAATAAAGAGGTAACTGAAAATACAACCACAAAGGTCATTAATCAAATAAGAGACAAGGCAGAGACATCATTAACAATGTGACATTGATTTATTAAAAATCTTAAAGTTCCCCTGTGGTGAAATTCAAGCTTTTAATGGTGTCTATTTGGTGTTTTTAATGTGCTTTAAGACAAACCGTGTGTAAATTAACAAGTCAACACCATTGTTGAGTATTGTCTCAAAAATATGGTTTAAAATCACTGGTGTTTTAGATGTCACAAACTAACTACCTTGTAACCAATCAGGTCAACATGTAATCATCAACGAGTGGATCTCTGAGCTGGTGAGTGAGTGGGTGGCTCATTCGCACATTCATACTGCCAACCCGATCTCACGGGAATTCGTACGAATGGTGGCTAATTCGAAACAATTCATACAACCTCACTCGTACAAATTAGTACGACTTTGCTAAATCGTACATATTTTACGAATTGGCCAATTTGTATGAATTCGTACGAATGACCTACCCCTGACCCCGCCCCTAAACCTAACCATCATGTGGGTTTAGACAAATTGTATGAATTCGTATGAGTAAGGTCGTACGAATTAGCCACTTTTTAACCACTCGTACGAATTCGTACGAACTGGTCATGAGATAGGGTAGGTACTGCATATATTAAATGAGGCAAGGGTGTAAAGTTACATTCAAGCTATAAAAAAACACATTTAAAATGTTTTTTTTTTCATCCCGTTTTCATCCCAAGGCGTCATCTAACTGGCGCTTTTGACCATACGTCAACATCCGACAATTTAGGGCACCCTTTAGTGTCAGTTAGATGACGCTATCCTAGTGGTCTAACGTTTACCCTACCCCAAACCTAAACCTACCCGCGTCATCTAGCTGCTCTGCAGTAAAGGCCAATTTATAGTTCTGCGTCGAGGGTACGGCGTAGTATACGGCATCGGCTACGCACGTAGGCGACGCCGTCCATTTATACTTCTGCATTCAGGTGTTGGTTGCTCTGCAGTACTGCTCCGAAACGCTAGTTGGCGGCGGAGGGTTTTAATGTTCCACTGTGTTTAGATTCCTCACGGCTAGGTTATTACAAGCAATGGCGACTGAAAGAGAGCGGATCGTGTTGGAGTTGGAGCTCATTGAGGTGGAAAAACAGTTAATTTTAGTGAAATTACTAAAACTAAAAGGAGACGTCGGAGGAGATGGTACATGCGGAAATGCGTAGGTGGAAATGCGATGCTACCAAGCTGACCATTCACCGATCTTACGGTCCGCGTCGTCGCGACGTGTAGTTACATTTTTGAGGAGGTGCGCGTCAGGCTACGGCAAAGGGTGCGCGATATGGGACGCGTCTGTGCGTATGCTACGCCGTACCTACTGCGTGGACCCTACGCAGAAGTATAAATTGACCTTAAAGCGTCGGATGTTGACGTATGGTCAAAAGCGTCAGTTGGATGAGAATGTGTTGGTTTTTTTGGTGATGAAATAGGATACAAGTACTACAGGAGGAATTTAAGAGTTAAAAAAAAAACGTCTCTTTATAATCAACCCTTACAATATAAATTATTCTTAATTTGTAGATTTTTATTAGGAATTTTGGATCTGGAATACAATTTACCCTGAATTTCCCCCCACTTTGCTTCCTGTCAGTTGTCCCAAAATATATATGTTTTTATACTGTACAAATCCTCTAAAACCACCATCACAGAAAACTTTCATTTAAAAAAAAAAAAAAAAACTTAGATGATTTACAAGCCATATCCATAATATACACAGTACAAACATCACTGTATAATCAACCTCTGGGCATTATTGTACAGTCCGTCTTCATAGCTTTAGTCATATTAGAAGGCTTATGTTTAAACATATACATATTTTGCAAAAAAAAAAAAAAAAAAATTCAGTGACTTTTTCAACTGAAATCTTGTGCAATTTTTGGCCAAAGGTCTTTGTGCATTCCTCTTTCCCCTAGTCCATAGTCTTCTGCTTTGTTTGTTTCCTACAGTACCGATCTGCCGTTCAACAGGAATCTTTCTTCACCCTATATTTAGATTCAGTTGGTGTGTATCATCCTCCGATGGAAGTTTCACTCTGGATCTGCATTTGGAACGGTGCGTATGATTGAGAAGGCCTTCGTGATCTGATGCCTGAATGCACGGCAGATGACGAAGTACAGCACTGGATCAAAGCACAGGTGCAGGATGGCGAGAAGTAGAGTAGATTCTTTGGCCAGGAAGAGAGTCTTCCTCAGCGTGCATTCAGTGATGACCTCAATCTGTGCAAAAGTGTACGGCATACGCACAGCGTGGTACGGCACGAAGCACACCACGTAAGCCAAGGTCACCAATGCGATGTTTATGAAGGCATGTCGGGCATTAGCCTGTTCCTCAGGGTCGGATTCACGGCGACCCCACAGCTGCTTCAAGACCAGGCCGTTGGACAACAGCACCGCTACTGAAGCGTTGAAGAAGATAGCCATGCCCAGAAAGACAGACAATGCGTGCCAGTGCTTGCCCAAATCGCCTTTTAAGTCAGAACATGTTAGCCCAACTTTGTCTTCGACGTTTTCTTTGATAGGGATGGCCATGTTAGGCACATTGATGAAGAGCACGAGGAACCAGACCACTGATGACATCAGAACCGCAAAGCCCACCTCCTGCAATCGCAGAAGTTTGGAGCTGCGAGTGATCTGGAGGTAGCGCTGAACGCTAACAAAAGCTAGAAAGATGATGGACGCGTACAAGTTGATGTAGATGAGCGGCCCACTCACTTGGCAGAGAAAGATGGTCAGACTCTTTGAATCATTGCCCAGATCTTTGGCGATCTTGACAGGTAACGCCAGCATGAGGAGGAAGTCGGATGTCAGGAGATTGATGAAGTAAACGTTAATGCACTTTTTAGCACTTCGGCTGGTTATGAAGGCCCACAGTGCCACCATGCTGGCAGCAATTCCAATTATGAAGATGAGGATGTAGAAGGTGGCGAAGGGCACCATGTTGTCGTTGACCACGCAGTTGCTGGTATTTGGACTCCCCATTTTTTTGGGATCTGGACTGTGTAAGCTCTAAACAAGGCTTATGTAAATAAATTAAGACTGTTCAGTTCTCCTTTTCCTCACGTGTCTACTTCTAACTCTTGACAACCGAGAATAACAAGTATGTTTGATAACAGTTTTGCCTTTCACTTCACCAGAAAGTAATAGGTATTGGAGGAGGAAGTGGTAAATCCCCTGTTCAAGCATGCAAAAGCATTTTCCTGTTTAGCTCGCACAGGGATATGATGTCACCTATCAGCATCGGCGAGTAAATGGCATCCCGAAAGCCTGGAAAGAGACAAAAGAGGGTTAAAGAGAAAAATAAATATCAAACAGAAAAATATATAGAAGTATTTATTCACCCATGGTTCCTGTTTTCATGATGTTTCATAATTATGAACTGTTTATATGGATATACATTATGAACTTGCTTAAGCTAGTCTAGATTTAAAATTCTAGTTTGCTTGATAACAACTTGTATCGAGGCAATCGAATCGAATCAATTCTAGCATCTCAAATCAAGACCAGACGGTGTGTTCTAATGCTTTGCAATAAGGTTCATAATTCATGAATGCTAATTTCCACTGTTCTTAGCAGATGGTCAAAACTTCTGCCCCCAGTAAGTATGGTGGAGGAATACAGTAAATATCCACTAAACTCATGTTTTATGTCTCAAATAAGGTCTGGCTATAGAAGGAATATGCAACGAGAGCTCAGGGCTGCTTTTTCTGTATTAAAGGGTTAGTTCACCCAAAAATGAAAATTAAGTCATTAATTACTCACCCCCATGCTGTACCAACCCCGTAAGACCTTCGTTCGTCTTCGGAACACAAATAAAGATATTTTTGATTAAATTTGAGAGCTGTATAACTACCACATTGGCTCCTAAAGGACTGCCTCTTGACGGCCCAGAAAGTCAATGAAGAAAATGTTTAAATATCCCAAGTGACTACCGTGGCTCAACTATATGTTTATCAAGCGACGCGAATACTTTTTGTGCGAAAAAACAAACAAAAATAACGAGTTTATTCGACTATTTCTTTTCTTCCTTGTAGGCCAGAACGAGACTTCCTTAGATTTCCACGACGCATGCGCGAGAATTGCGAGCTGGTGTATTCAGATCGCAAATCTCGCGCATGCGTCGTGGAAATCTAAGGAAATCTCGTTCTGGCCTACAAGGAAGAAAAGAAATAGTCGAATAAACTCGTTATTTTTGTTTGTTTTTTCGCACAAAAAGTATTCGCGTCGCTTGATAAACATATAGTTGAGCCACGGTAGTCACTTGGGATATTTAAACATTTTCTTCATTGACTTTCTGGGCCGTCAAGAGGCAGTCCTTTAGGAGCCAATGTGGTAGTTATACAGCTCTCAAATTTAATCAAAAATATCTTCATTTGTGTTCCGAAGACGAACGAAGGTCTTACGGGGTTGGTACAGCATGGGGGTGAGTAATTAATGACTTAATTTTCATTTTTGGGTGAACTAACCCTTTAAATCAGCCCATGAATCCTGTGTCGTCAAGACGTACCTTGTAGCAATATGGTAGCAATTTTTGTTTTACATCAATGAACTAAAATTAACGGTGAAAACTAGTGTGGCCAGTACTTTACCGTAATAAAATAAGGTAGAAACATTTTAGTTTTTACGGCACTGAACTATAGTTTATTGTAAAAAATCTGGCAGCTGGTTGTGCTTTACCATAAAAAAATATGGTTGTAATATTTTATGTTTTGTGGCATTGCACTTTAAAAAAATATTGTATTACAAACCAATTTGAAATAAAAGTTATTATTGAGAATTATCAGAGGTTTAGACTGAAATTTTTGTATTGAAAATAATAAACCAATGATGAGATGAGTGTTTGCTTTAGTTGGGCTTTTGACTTGGGATTGGACTTTATATCTTTAAAATTTCTCTGATTGCTTTAATTGTGTGTTTATTAAGCCCATGTCATGAAAATCAGAGAAAAAGTGTGATCTATTATGATGACGTCATGTAGTGGCCCATTTCTTTGGATGTGAATGTTTTCTTTACATTCTGTTTTTTTTCCCCCCATATAAGTCCTGTAAAATATAAAAGATTGCCACCACATTTTTTATGGTAAAATACTGGCAAACACAGCTGCCAAAGTTTTAACATGAATTTCACAGGTTTACAGTGTACCTCTAAGTGAATGAAAACATCCTACAAAGTTTTAAATCTGAAAGTGCACCGTTTTAAGTTTCTGTCTTTCAAAAGTATGAGACGACTGTGAGTCAAGGAAATGAATCGTTTTTCAAACAAGTCATAACAGAGAATGTCTAATTGAAGAGAATAGAGTGCCGAAGTGATGACGTCACTTTAAAGGATGGGCGCATGGGTTCCCTCGGTCGAAAAGCAATGCATTTTCCCCATAGACTTTTGGAAAATCGCAAAAAATAAGATCTGTGTTTAACAAAGGGTTGTGACCCTTACACGTTTTGTCTAGCAAGATAATCTTTACAAGTTAAGCCAAAATTTATACATTTTGAAGCCCATATAAAGATTTTAGAAAACACAATCAGACACAAAAAAGTTTAAAAAACCACAAGCAGGTTATAACTGTGTGTTCTATGTCAGAGATCAAAACGTGAAAATATTTAGAGGCTTTGTTCACCGCAGACCTTATTTCAGGCGATTTAGCAAAAATCCATTCAAAAATCCCATAGACTTTAGAGCGAGGGAACCGTAGTGCTAAAATGCTAACTCACTTCCGCGTTTTGGCCTACAGAGTGACATCGTAACTTCGACACTCTATTGGCACTGGCTGGTTACATCCGGTTTCTGGACTGGCTGCAGTAACGCGTCTCTGTCCATGCGGGGGCGCTCGCGGTCGAGTACAGAATAAATGGGAGCCAATGGGGTTTCACCATTTTCACCCCCAGAAATCCACTTTTCTCAGGATGTAATTTTTTGTCAAGTAATTTGAAAGTTGCATTCAAAAGGGAGGGCTAAGATAATACACTCAGCTGAAAATTGCATTTTTAAGTTCACTTATCTGATCTAAAAATCCGTTCAAAACTATGATGACGTCACACAATAGCAGAATGCTAGCGTGTTCTGGCCAACAACGGCCTAACCTGTAAGAAATCAAAAGGACATAAGTACTCGTTCATTCCACTTTCGGCCAATAATCTATATTGAACTTGCGGAATCAACAATAAAATCTATTTTGATTTAACGACAACAAGCAGGTGAAAGAGACATATTTAGCCGTTTAGCCCCATAGACTCCCATTCATTCTGCTCTCGCCCGCGATCACCTCCAGTGGAATTATAATGGAACTGCAACCAGGATGATACACAACGGGGCTAATAGGAAGTGCCAAGGCTCTCCGTTAGATGGGCTCTGGTCATAAGCTGTTTCGTAGTGACGTCAAGATGAAACATTAGCATATTGCCCGCCCACTTATTGAACGTGCGGACACCAGGGAAAACTTGAACCTCAAACACAGCAGCTGATTCCTGTGGAAACAGGATCATTTTGAGAAGACGCTGTGCTCTACAGTGTGAAGGTAAAGCCATTTTTTCCCCACATTTCTTTCATTGTTTCATCATCAGACTCGCGCTCGGATTGATATGGTAAATTCGACGTCATCGCTCATTACTACACGGTACGGTAAACAAATCCCAACAGAATGAGCTGTCTGGCCAATCAGAACAGAGTAGCTCACGGAAAAGAGGGATTTAGAGAGGTTGATTTAATGTATCTGACGAGTCGTTTGAGAATCATTGAAAAATGTGGTGATGTGCAAATGTATATTATAAGAAAATGAAACAGTTGTTTGACCTTTGATGCATATAAATCTGCTCTGGGAGACTCCAAAACAAATTTTAAAATAGCATAATAGCAGCACTTTAATGTAAAGTGTTACTAGTAAGTTTAGACCACCTGCCAGTCAACTTGTTGTCTAGTAAACATTCTTGTCCACAACGTTCCGTAAAAGCGAGGAGTCTTATTAGAAGGTCCCATAAAAGTTAATGGACACCTCATAAGACAGCCCGTACTCATCCCAAGGCGTCATCTAACTGACGCTTTTGACCATGCGTCATCTAACTGACGCTTTAGGCATTTAACATCAGTTATGACACCCTAGGATCGCGTCTAAAGGCCAATTTATACTTCTGCGTAGGGTGCGCGCGGTAGGTACGGCGTAGCATACGCACAGACACGTCCCATATTGCGTACCCTTCGCCGTAGCCTGACGCGCACCTCTTCAAAAATGTAACTACACGTCGCGACGACGCGGACCGTAAGATCGGTGAATGGTCAGCTTGGTAGCATCGCATTTCCTCCTACGCATTTCCGCACGTACCATCTCACGCATTTCCACACATACCATCTACTCCGACGTCTTCTCTCATTTCTGCCTTTCAGTTTTCGTAATTTCACTAAAATTAACTGTTTTTCCACCTCAATAAGCTCCAACTCCAACATGATCCGCTCTCTTTCAGTCCCCATTGCTTGTAGTAACCTAGCCGCGAGGAATCTAAACACAGTGGAACATTAAAACCCTCCGCCGCCAACTAGCGTTTCGGAGCAGTACTGCAGAGCAACCAAGACCTGAATGCAGAAGTATAAATGCTCACAATGGCGTCGCCTACGTGCGTAGCCAACGCCGTACACTACGGCGTACCCTCGACGCAGAAGTATAAATTGGCCTTAACCCTAACGTTGCGTGTCCACTACAGCGGCAAAACTCAGCTCAGTGCCGCTGGCAACGCTATAACTAACACAGTCTCATCCCAAAAAGTCATATAACTGACGTCTTCGTCTTTTGACCATACGTCAATATCCGCCTTTTTAGGGTACAACTGACGCTTTACCTTTAACGTCAGTTTGTGACGGGTTAGGTTTAGGGTTAGGTTTAGGTCTGGGGTAGAGTTAGGATCCCATAACCTCATCTACCGACGTTTAAGGGGGCCCTAAAAAGGCGAATATTGACGTATGGTCAAAAGACGTCCCAAAACGTCAGTTATATGACGTCTTGGGATGAGACCGGGTTGCAATAACGTCTCCGCTTTGGAGTAGCCTATGTCTGTTGCGAGTGTGTTTAATCTGGTTTTTTTTTTCAACATATACACACATTATAATCATCAGAGATGCACGCGATTACATTCGGAAATAGACAAGCTTTGTTTACATAAATGCCCCAAGCAAAGATATCCCGTCAATTTTATAAACTTTTATAAACCCAGCCAGTATAATCACAATGAACACATCCTAAATTATTTAACATAGCCTATAACAACTGCAAAGCGTCTAATTTGTAAACAAAATTGTTTTCGCACTAAATCCAGCATAAACTCCGGCACAATTTGCATATTTTTAAAATCTCAAAACAGATGTCAAATCCCGAACCGCACATCAATTGGATGCCGTCCGCGTTTTTCGCTTGATATTTGCATAAAGTCGAGAACTGCCCGGTCCACTGTCAATCTCAAAATGCACTGCGCGAGCGTGAAGCTCGACTTCCATAGGAATGAATTGAAAACGCTCTCTCCGCGCCAGTGGACACACACCGTAACCCTACCCAAGACCTAAACCTACCCACGTCATCTAAAGGTAAAGCGTCAGTTAGATGACGCCCTAGGATCGCGTCATCTAACTGACGCTAAAGGGTGCTTAAAGCGTCGGATGTTGCAGCATGATCAAAATTGTCAGTTAGATGACGCCTTGGGATGAGAATGCATTGCATAAGAAGAAAAAAAAAACTTTGGGGGCCTCCATTCTGTTTCATTTAATTACAAAGAATAAATAAAATCACAACTGTGAATGCGCTTATTTGCATTAGAAACATAATTCATCTAAAAAATATTAAAAGTTATATACAACAAGCAGGTATGTTTAGGTAACACTAACCAAAGGTTCAGATGAATTAATTTCATTGTAGCAAATGAAATCATGCTCATGTCACAACGCATTAATAGTTCTTCTTGAGCATTAATAATATAATAATTGGGAGTTCTTAAAGTGTGTCATTTTTAATAGTTGAGAAGTGTTTTGTGGTAATAATAAAGCCTTAATTGTACGTTTTTACTTGCTATAAATATGACATAAATATCAACTATAATTTAATTTTAAATTTTTCAACACCTTTTGCAAAGAGAAAAGCCCTGAATTGTCTACATACATGTATTCTTTTTTAGGGAAGTGAGTCATATTGTGGTCATTTAATGTGCAGTAAAAAGGGAAGCTGATCTACATCTATGGACAATAAACTAAAAGTGGAACATGGAATTACTGTATATCTATTATTAAACATTAAATATTATTTGTTATTTGTCTGAATTCAAACTGTTCTTGTATACTTTTAATTAAGTCCAATTACACATCGCCTACATATTGTATATTGCTGCATTCATTAAAGAGCATTTTTATGCCATTACTCCCACCCGTCTCTCCAGGGTGAAAATATTTGACTCTTTACTTTGAGTATTAAAGGTCAGTCCTCAAATTAACATTTTTAGAAATCTCCAACGAATCGGATTCATAAAATCTCACACAAGAAGAAACAGACACATGGCGCTTCATAACAGAATTCGAATTTGAGAACTTACCTCATCGTACTCTCCAAGAGACGTCAGATCAGACGGTGCAATAATGCGGTTCTGCTCTCTAGCTCTACATTGGTCTTGTTGAACCCCAAAACAGCTATTGAGATACTTGTTCGAAGAGTTTCTGCATTGGTTCAAAGTCAGTGCATTGCATATCCAGCTTCCTCTTTTCTTAGGGGTTTGGTTTTAATTATATCAACCAATGGTGGAAAGCACATGGTGCAATGACGCACCGGAAACCTGAACTTTCCAGAATTGCTGTATGTAGACAACCACAAACCACTAGTCTAAAATGACTGTTCACTCTTATTTGCATGTGCTCTCTGTGCTGTCAGTTCCTGGTTTGACGCTCGACTTTGTTAAACATTAAAGTTGGACTGGGCAGGTTCAAACAGAATGCGGTTTTGATGTTGAAAACAAAGACACTGGTCAGCTGGACAAGAAAAGAAGAAAAAAAAGGTCTAGAACAGGGGTTCCCAATCACGTTCCTGTTTAGTAACCATTCTTTTTAAGTGCAAACCTGAGTGAAAATCTCCTTCATTTTGTCTATCTTGATCTAGCCCAGAAAAGAATGTTTGTTGGTGTAAAGTCAAGTTGGCTAGTTTATCCTTTATTATCTCCATTAGGATACATTTTGCTTGGGCAATCGAGAAAATTACACAACACCCAATACATGACACATCTACCCTCGCCCACACACACCAATAATAGAATTAAAGGGAATTTATACCTATTCAACTTACAGGTTGGTACCGATATCTCTTGCCAGATCCGCTCATAATCATTTATGAAGAAAATGACTTGGATCCCCAATCGTTTTTAAAGGTCTGCTATAGCTTACAGACCTCTCAAAAAAGTTGATTAGGTGAAATGAAATCATGTTTTTCACTTAAAAACAGTTTATTCGTTTTTATTTTGACCACCAACTAGAATATCAAAGGCAAAGAAGGATATGCATCTGCTGCCTTCAAAAATCGATCAGATGAAGTATGTAGGAGACAGGAAGGGAAGCTAACATTGGATTTGGACGTGCCTTGAAGCCTTCCTACAGTGGAATGCATCCTCCGAAGGCATGTTTTGCATGTCTCCTTAATTAAACACACCTGATTCAGATCATCAGCTCATTAGTAGAGCCTCCAAGACTGTCCCTGCGTCCCAATTCGCATACTATCCGTCCTAAATAGTATTCGAAAATAGAATTAGTACGTCCCAAATCGTAGTACGTTGAAATGAGTGTTTCAAAGATACCCGGATGGTCTACTTTTTCCGGTCAGAATCCGAAGTGTAGATCGATGCACACTCTAACGGCTGATATTGCCCACAAACCATTGCGCGTTGGACGAGGATTCAGTTAGAACTACAAACACGAGTAAAAAAGTGTTAAAAAACTACAGACACGTAGTCGATACGGAGGACGTGCGAGTCCCCGCGGTTGTGTAGAGAGGTTTAGATAAAGAGCTTCGAGTGATTAATTATCAGTATCTAACCTGACGAAAATGAATTTATTAAATGTTGTACACATTATATTGCATTTGCAGCAGCATTGTGAACTTTTGTAAAGACACGTTTAGCTATTACGTTTTAAATGCATCATTATATTCAAATTGCAAACACGAGGAGAGCATGAAAGACCCACAACTGGCAGATGGATGTGCTCTCCGAAACGGTAGGAAATAAAATTAGATATAGAATGGAGGATTTTAACTGTGACAAGATGATTGACAGGGCAGTTTACGGTGACAGGATGCACGCAGCACGCGACAGAGCTGTCCGTTAAAGATGATGTGATAGTACGTCCCAAAGCTTGCCTACTCTTTTGCTACACACTCAAAAGTATGTACTTTTTCCTCACAAAAAGAGTACATACTTTTAGGGCGTAGTATAAGTAAGCGAATTGGGACGCAGCACGTGTCTGAAATCGCCCTCTATACCCCTAATACACAAGTAGAGGGGACAGCAGTGTCCGAACCCACAGCAGACGTTGGCTGGATCCCAAATGTCACACTTCCTGTGGACTGGCTGTCTCATGGCCTTAAATTTGGACGTATTCGCCAAGTGTAAGAGTTCGTAGGGTGTCCCATTCAGCATTTCAGTTCTCATTTGTGCCCTTGATGGTGAAGCCCGCACTTTCACACCCTCCACATGAGTCACCTACCCAGGAGTCATTGAAAACGCCCAATAAGATAAAAGAGGGGAGGAGTTTCATGGCTGTTTGACTTTTGTTGGCATGATGTCGTCAAGCCTGTCCCAAAATACACTCGTGGACTAGAGGCCAGCGCACCTTAGGTCTTCACTTCTTGACATTAACAAGTCAACTTCACAAGGCCAGAGTGTGCCATTTGGGAACCAGCACTCATTAAATCCCACAATGCACAGCAATAACGAGTGTGCAACCAATGTACTCTCAACAGCTAGAGACTACCAATAATGTACCAATAAAATAACTCATATTTCATACCCAACCTTCTCAAACTTATTGCATAGTTCCATTTAGCATTTACAGCATAGACTTTGCCATATTACATCACTCAAACAAAACCAAAAATAACTTTTAACTCATAAACATAATAATTAAACATAATTAAATAATTAAATTAAACAATTAATAAACATAAACATAATTAAACATAATAATTTCTTTTCAATTTTTAACTTAACCCTTTTTTTGTGCTTATAATTATTATTTGATTCTGTTGTGTCTCAGTTTGAAGTCCAAATTCTCACAGTCCAATCCGTTATATTTTACGTTTCTCCATTGTCATTTTTTCTTTCAAGCCAGGGAAAAACTCTTGGCCACACCGCCTCTGATGCAAGCATTTTGATTTCCCTTTTCACCATTATTTTGAATATTGTTTTCACATTTACTTCCCTTAAAATGTTTTTTCTCTCCTTATTTTCCAAAATATACCCATACTATCCCACTTTGACAGTTTCTCTTTCAATCCCTTATACCCACTTATCAGGCAGGCTTTTTTTTTTTAAATGTTTTCACATTCACCATCCACTTTTGCTTTCTCAGTTTGCCTTTCCCCCGCTATCGCTCCCTCTTTCATAGTTCCACAAACCTTCCACAACTTTGTGAGTTTGTAAAATAATGAGTTTTGAATTTCATAAATTATGCTTTTTCTGACATTTTCTTTGCACGCCTCTTATTTTATAAAGTCAGCATTCAAACACCAGATTCCCCCTCCCCTCTCTTACCTGATTACTCCCATCATCATAGCATGGTCACTTAAACCTACAAACTTTTAGTTTACATTTTAACATATTTTAACATTTCCCTTTTGGTTAAACATTATTCTATATGGCTTTGTTTAAAAACTCCCATCACCAATTGTCTTCTGAAGAATTTTTTGTAGGGATTCCCTCCATGTCAACCAAGTCCTCATTTTGCATCCACTCAATGAAATATTTTCTGGAAACATCAGACTTAAAGTTTGCCCTGCATGAAGCGTCCTAATCTCGTGCACCATACATTAAAGTACATACATTCATTTCTTTGAATAGTTTTTTTCTTTCATTTTCTATGTTTGGCGTATAAATATTTTAAAAAGTTTATTTTTTTAAAACACAAATTCAGTCACTAAAACTCCCCCATTACCATCCTTGTATACTTCCTTCGCACTATTAACTCTACCTTCTTTTATCAGGGTTGCCACACCACGGGCTTTTGCATTCCTGATATTGACAAAAATATCACCTTGCCATCTCTTTTTTATGTTTTCCGTTCTGTCATTAGACCAGTGCGTCTCTTTCAGTAATCTCTTCAAACTCTAAAACTTATTTTCGTCTCTTAGTCCATTGCAGTTCAAACAAGCAATGTTCATCATTCTCTAGATAGCAAATAATATAGTTTTTAAAACATTAACACTCATTTCGATCCTTCCAAGCACTTACTTTCGGCGTTGTGCTCCTCCCTTTCTTTTCTTCTGCAGTCTTTTCCCTTCGCTTGTGTCCATTTCCTCATCATCGGCTTTGGCAGGACTCGCTGGCACCTCTTTCTTTCCTCGTAGAACAGTCAGTCGTAGTCATAGGTCGTAGAACGGTCAGTTCGGTTGTTCCCTGCTGGTTCGCCGCTTCAGGGCTCCGAAGTGTCCGTTTAAACAAATCCCGAGGCCCGTCTAGAGGGACTGGTTCACTTAGTAGAATTCATGGCAGCGTGGAAACTACTGCCAGATATTTCTCATACTTCATCATTCCCAACAAGGTTGGGGGGTTTCGTCCTATTCTAGATCTGTGTCAGCTAAACGGCAGAGTTCAGAAACTCAAGTTCAAGATGCTTACAAACAGATTGTATCACAGATTCAGTCCGAGGACTGGTTTGTCACAATAGACTTGAAGGATGCTTATTTTCATATATCCATCCATCCATCCTCATCACAGGATTGATATCGATATGAGCATCGTTATCGGGAGTGATATCGGGGGAAAGGCATACAGGTGTGGCCGAGGCTACACCTGTACGCCTTTCCCCCGCTATCGCTCCCGATATCGATGTTCATCTGTCATTAGTAGCCCCACGCTGGCCGACCAGAGTGTGGTTGGCGGACCTTGTGTCACTCTTGGACGGCTCTCCAATGGAGATCCCGGTCAGGAGAGACTTGCTTTCACAGGCGGGGGGCACGATATTTCACCCTCGCCCGGATTTGTGGGGCCCAGCTCATAAGTTACGGTCTCTCGACTGAGGTCGTGGAGACCATCCTTCAATCCAGAGCTCCCTCCACGAGAAAACTACATTCTTTGAAATGGAAACTGTTCTCTACATGGTGTGTCTCCTGGATTATCTCCCTCCACCTTGAAGGTGTATGTAGCGGCCATATCTGTCTATCAATCCCCTGTGGGGGCTTCTTCTCTCAGGAGAGATCCTCTTATCACTCGTTTTCTCCATGAAACATTGAGGCTGAGGCCTGCTTTGCACTCCAGAGCACCAGCTTGGGACCTGGCCATTGTACTCGAGGGTCTGGCTTTGGCTCCCTTCAAGCCTATTGAAGAGGTTTCAGAAAAGTTCCTCACTGTAAAGACTTAACTTCTTCTCGCTATTTCTTCCATTAAGATAATTGGAGATTTGCAAGCTCTGTCGGTTGGTCCTAGTCTGGAATTTGCACCTGGTATGGTTACCATTTTTTAGCAAATGCCTATGACTAGGGTGTAAAAATGCTTTGCATTGTTAGGCCGGGTTACATTCCTAAGGTCCCTACTAATGTGACGGGTCCTATTGTGCTGCAGGCCTTCTGTCCTCCACCTTTTACTACCGGTCCTCACCGCATATATTTGTCAGATTCTATGTCCTAGACCAGGGGTTCTCAACACCAGTCCTCGTGACGCACTGCTCTGCATATTGTGTATGTCTCCCTTATTTAACACACCTGATTCAGATCCTCAGCTTGTTAGGATAGACTCTATGTCAACCTAGCCTCTCCACTCCTGGGGCTAGGTTGCTTGTTTCTTAAGTGTGTGCTTGGACTTCACACAGAAGGGCATTTCTCAGTATGGCGTAGTGGGTATAGGGTTCCCACTGCGTCTCGAACGCAGCTTGAAGTTCCCTTGAAAGGGAACGTCTCAGGTTACGTATGTAACCCTGGTTCCCTGAGAGGGAACGAGACGCTGCGTTCGCTTGCCATACCTCCTGCATGCCCTGATTGACTTTCTTCAGGACTTTTCAAAAGATGTCGTGGTCTGCTTTCAGGGGTGCTTTATAGTTTCCTGGTCTATGACATCACATGACGTCCTGCTCTCTCATTGGACTGATTGTAGGGCTGTCGCGGTTATGTAATTTCCCTTGTGGTAATGTTGAGTGGCTCAATAGCGCGATATGCGGTATTACCACTATTTATTTAATTTATAGGTATTTGTTGCTATATAAATAAGTTTACGATGTGGACAAAAAGGACATTGTCAGTAACCAATGTAACCGTAACTAAACAGCGTCTATTCGTGCATTGAAAGGCTTTCACTCAGTGCGCATATTGTTATGACAACAGACTTTGAGCGAATCATTAAACCGTTCATTCAACCAACACGTTCAAAAAAGCTGATTCATTAAAAAGAGATGTAATGAAACAAGGTGTTAATTATTTTTAACTTTGAGTTCCACTTTTCAAGGCTCAGCTGAGCCGCAATGCGTCGCATGGGTAACGCTGAAGCTGATGCTTCACTTAGAGACCAATGGCATTGATTTAATGCGTGACGCTGTGGGAGAACGGTGAGACCAGCACTGCTGCTGACGCGCATTTCCGTGACGTGAACGTTAAAATGATGGTACGACAAATATTTCGCTTTCCTTTGACACGGCAAGCTTTTCACGACTTCAAAGATAGACGCAGGTAATCGCACGCGCTCTGCCGATCTCTCTCATTCACTGTCTGTGTGAAGCCTCTGTAGGCTACACATCACCAAGTTAAACAGTCAAGTTATTATCATGAACTTGTTTATCATTTAATACACATGCATGAAGTTTAAAACAAGAAGGGTATCCACAAGTTTCCTACGCCCCATGAGGCCTTGCGTCAAAAGTGGGCGCGACTTCCGGTTTGAAGTAAACAATGCGCTACTTGACATGCTTGACACTCGTTCATTCAACAGTTGACAGTCATTCAAGTTATAGCGATCCAAACTAGCTAACGATGTGGGAACCTCAACGAAATTCAAAAGGGTGAAATAACAGTACCTTTACCTCCGCAGTAGTTGATTGGGAGTATTATAATAACATTATTAATAATCAATACTGATCAAGGCATGTTGACAGACAGTTGTGCGAGCTGACAAACAATTAAAATAAAAAATACACACTTAGTCATTGTGCTTTGGAGTTTATTCAAAATTATAAATGAATGTGCTACTTGAATACATTAACTGGCACATTTGGTATTCTGTCAACACAGGCTTTGATCCTGAGTTTAGGTGTAACATCAGTAGTGAACAGCCAAACACATGCTGATAGAGTTTATAGAATATTAAGATTTTAAACAAATGTACACAGGATGATTCGTCGTCTTTTGGGAGGTGATGGAAACTACAGTCGTTGGCAGGATCACTGTGATTTCGTTTTCAGCTTATGTTCAAAACAATCCCGTTTAAGCCACTGAATTAGTTTAGTCCGGTTATACATACAACCGCAAACAGCACATGTTGTCCCTGAGCTCCGTAACGACATCTCTCACAAAGATTTGCGTCTTTAAATAGTAAAATAATTCTCAGAAAAACAGCCAGCCTCTTCGCTAACTAACACACAAAATACCATTGGAATGCTACTTCCGCCGCCTCACCGGAAGTTTCACCCACTTTATTTTTTACATGAGCGCCCCTCGGAAACTTGTGGATAGCCTTATAAAAAAAACGTGAATATCGCGGTTGCTGCGGTTACGTCCAATTCTCTGCGGTTGACATATCATGAAGCGCAGTACTACAATATTGCGGTTATCGTGACAGCCCTAATTGTAGAGAGGCTTCACGACGCAATCACGCAGAGTGTTCCTACCAAATCTCGAATGCAGCATCTCGTTCCCTCTCAGGCGAAATTTTCTATGTTGTTACACTGCATTCCTGAGCGTTTTTACCTGGTTTCCTGTGTCCCGGTTTTCTTGTCTGTTCCTTGGATTATTCTTCTGCCTCTGACCCCTGCCTGTTTAGTTTGTTTGTTTGTTCGCATGGACTGCCTACCTGTGTATTTGACCTTTGCCTGTTTATTGGATTACGCGTCTAGATTGTCCCTATTAAAGCTGCATTTGGATCTTAACCACCTTGTCTCTGAGCAGTTTCGTGACAGAAAACTGCGACACACTGAGATCACACTGAGATCCAGCAGCGATGCCAACTATGAGTCCAGAAGTCCAAATCTTTCATCTCCGTCAGGGGAATCGGTCGATTGAAGAATATGTCGGAGAGTTTATTGAACTGGCACATCTCACCTCAATGAGCACAGAGTGCCAGATGATCTTTTTTTTCGGACTATCTGATCCGCTCAGGTCATTGATGCCCGACCATGATCCTCACGGGATATTAGAACGATATATTGACATGGCCCTGTTGTTGAGCGGTTCATCGTTTACTGTGGGCGTGGAGGAGAAGGAGCTCAGTGAACCCGCAGTATCCCCTCAGACTGATTTTCATGTCACGCCAGCCATCAAGCTTGCCATCGGATTGGACTATGGGCGTCCAGGACTGATGTCCACCGTGGCACAGCCACCGCTGATGTCAGCGCGGAGATCGCCTTTCCAGAGCCATGTCCCGAGGTGGCCACCATTCCTGAGTATATCCAGTCAGCCCTGCCGTGCCTGATCTTCACGTTACACCTGACCAGCCTGAGCTGCTTCACGTCAGTCCAGCTGAGCCTACGCATCATGTTCCTGTTCCCAAGCCGGTGTCTGTTCCCGAGCGGCCCGAGGGGTCTTCACCGCCCTGGCCGCCTGAGGAGTCTGCTCTGACCTGTCGCCTGCACATACTGCTCCTTTGAGGGGTGGCTATGTAATGGCTATCAGGTGGAGTGCCCTTGAGAGCCACCTGAGGGCACTCCACATCAGACTATCATTCTTCACTCACAACTACATTTCACATAACTCATCACTGATTGCATTGACCTGTATCTCATTATCTTGTTTAGCTCATGACACGTGCTGCGGGGCGGGGCGCGTGACGCTTCTCACGCACGCTAATGTTCTGTAGACACTGAAAGTTGATAGAGCTCCCTCAAGTGATCCCAATTACGTTGTCACGTCGAACGTGAGTGACTGAAAGGGAACCCCCATAAGAAACCATACCGCCAAAGATAAATTGTTTAATAAACTCAAGTGACTCGCCAAAGTGGTCCTGTCTGAATTAAGGTTTACATGCTAGTTTCGACAGAGTTAAAATAAATGTAATCTTACTGCCAGTTTGCTAAGTTTCAAATGATTGTTAAACAGCAAGCATAAACTATGAAAAAGCCCTTCCAGCTCACTCGGTGTCCGATTTCACTGACTCGCTTTCATTCACTCCTTCAAGTGCTCTATATTAGTGGAGTAATGTAGGGAATAGTGAATGAGGGTTGGCTATAGGGGGCAATTTTCAACACAGCCCAAGACCTGAAAAGGGTGTCAAAGAAAGGAGATGTGCAAAGTTGGTGAGAAAACTGTTTAAGGAAACTGTTTCAAATCACTTCACTTCATGTTTTCAATTAAAAGGGCAATATATTTAAAAAATAAAAAAAGTAATTCCAAACCTGTAATGTTTCATTGTTTACAAATAAATCCACCTTTTTACAATAAAAATGCAATAAGGAATTAAAGTAAACAACAAGTAACAATAAAAAAGACCTTTTAAGATAAAAGTACAGCTTTAATATTTTTTTTTATTATCCAAATATTAATTTAAATGCTGTATTTTCCCATTGCAAGCAAGCTACATGTCCACATATATCATCTTAAATACCAATATTAAATACACTATTATTCAAAAGCGTTTGGTAAGATTTTCTTTTTTTTTTTTTTTATGTATTTGAAAGAAGTGCGCACCAAGGTGTCATTCATTGATCAAAATACAGTAAAACACTAATATTTTGTGAAATTTACTCTTCAAGTTATGAATATATTTTAAACTGTAATTTATTCCAGTGATGCAAAGCTGAATTTCCAGCATCATAACTCCAGGCTTCAGTGTCACATGATCCTTCAGAAACCATTCTTAGATGATGGATTTCTGTTTAAGAAACATTATCATCAGTGCTGAAAACCGTTTGGGTGAAACTGATACATATTGTTGGAATGAACTGAAAGTTCGAACGAAGAACATTTGAAGTAGAAATAGTTTTTGTAATATTACAATCAATATCTTTAGTGTCGCTTTTGATCAATTGAATGCATCCTTGACGGAATCAGTTCATGATTAATCTTCAACGTTAAATGCAGATCGCTTTCAAGCTTTACCATAGCCACAGTGAAACTGAAAATTAGATGTTGTGCAAGGACCAAACCTCAGATGTGCATGATTTTAAGATGAACTGCTGCTACATTGTGTGCAATCTAATGATCCTTCATCTACATTGCACTTGTTTTGTTGTGGTTTCCTAAGTAAACTGTCATCCTTCCTGACAATCGTCTGTGTTAAATGACACTTTCACGTCTGACTGTGGATATCTTTGTCTCAATGTAGGTCAACATGTTGCTCATTCGTCTTTGCTGTCCTCTATCGTCGCTGTCTCTCGTCGAATCGGTTTTCTTCCTGAGGCCCAGCTGGGCTCTGAAGGCCTTGCAGAAGATGAAGTATATAAGTGGATCCAAGCAAGCATTTAGCACTGATAGTAGGACAGTCAGCTCCTTCAGGACGTAGAACGCATGGGCTGTGCAGAGTTTCGTCTGAGGTTTGATAAACGCATAAGGCAGTCGCACCAGATGATAGGGCACAAAGCACACACAAAACACAAGCACTAGAACTAGCATGTTGCGTTTAGACTTCTTGAACTTGCTGCTGGATGTGGTCTGTATGGACATCTGAGCTTTTCGGACTTTTTGCAGAGTCCCCCAGTAAAGAGCAATCAGAGACACCAGCACAAAAATGAAGAGCACCATAGACACACTGTGAGTGATTTTGTAGGCCACGTTGAGCGGAGGACTGTGGAAAGCCTCACAGCCGATTTTGTCGGGCTTATGAATTTTACCCCAGGAGGTCAGGAGGAAGAGGATCAAGTAGATGGAAGATGTGGCTACCAGCGAGAGCCAAGTAGCTGCAGAAATGTGGTGGGCGGTACGAACCGTCTGAAGAGAATGAGTCTCCAGTGGCCGGACAATCTTCAGGTACCTGAGGTAAAAAAAAAAAAAAAAAAAAAACATTTATAATACCTGTTTATGCTTGGTTTATTTCTGAAGAAAGCTGTAGTATCATGGCTTGGAAAAAAAAAAATTGGATTTTCACCATCATTACTACAATCTGGAGAAAATTATTATTACATGCTGATTTGTTGGATGTAATTGTTGGATGTAACATTCATTATTATCATCAGGGTTGAAAATAGTTGTGTTTTACCATTAAAAATTGGGTTAAGTAATAATAATAATGCTATTATTTATCCGGGGCACATCAAATTAAAGGGTTAGTTCACCCAAAAATGAAAATTAAGTCATTAATTACTCGTAATTACGCATGCGCGAGAACTGAACTGAAGTAGTTGAATAAGAACGCAATTCTCGCGCATGCGTCGTGGAAATCTCTTGAACTCTCGTCTCAGGCCCAGGAGGAAGAAAAGGAATAGACGAATAAAGTCGTTATTTTTGTTTTATTTCCGCACAAAAGTATTCTCGTCGCTTGATAAACTTATAGTTGAGCCACTGTAGTCATGGGACTATTGGGATATTTAAACATTTTCTTCAATGACTTTCTGGGCCATCAAGTTTCAATACTTTAGGAGCCTATGTAGCAGTGATCTCCAGCTCTCAAATTTAATCAAAAATATCTTCATTTGTGTTCCAAAGACGAACGAAGGTTTTACGGGTGTAAGTAATTAATGACTTAATTTTCATTTTTGGGTGAACTAACCCTTTAAACTTAACAAATACTGTTCTTTTGAAACGTGTGGACAACGATTGGTGCGTTCTATTATTCATCCGTCTCGGAGATCCGAATCGGACAACAGACGTTGCCTAGCAACACACCCCCTTTCCTCCAATTTCACCTCTCGGACGTGCAAGAAGCCACCGAGCAAGAATTCCGTTTTGGAATTCAAGATGGCCGCGCCCAGTGACTTGTAAGAATGAATTCTTTTCATTGTTTTTGAACCGCTTTGGTATTTTAAATGACGTTTATGATCACTCGTATTACACTCGCAATTACTAACGTTGTTAACGTTGACTAACAGAAGATTAACATGAAAAACATTAAATAAAGTGAATATTTTCAAGTTCATTGGCTGCGTTTTGATAAGGTGTAGTCATAATATTTTTTTTTTAATGTAAGTGCCTGGTATTCGGCCAGTGCTACCATTATAACAGCTTTCCGAGTGGCGTCCATTTTTTTCTCCGACTCGGACACGCAAAACATAATAGAACGCTTGAAGTGTGGATGTGATGTCAAATCCGAGGTCCGAGTCGGTTCGTTGGCTATAATAGAACGCACCATAAATTAGGCATGCAACACCTGTTTTTAATTCTGATAATGAGAACCATTATCAATTACGGTAACACTTTACAATATAGTGCATGAATCATCATGCACTAATACCTCTATTATTAATTACTAAGAGATGTACTAATGAGGAACTAACCTTAGCTACAACTTGATCCCATATGAATTCCTGCATGAATATACCATCTTAACTACACATTTGTATGTGCATGTTAATGTATTAATTAACATTTCGGGGTAAACTAAATCAAACTTGCTCTAGTAAATGGACAAATTTTGTGGCCCAAAAGAAGAGTAAGAACACTAACTGACTAACCTAAATTGTCTGTTAATGTTGTTTTCTCTTGGCTGTTTATTAGTTTCCACACACTTGTTTCTTTTCTCCTGTGTGTTTCAGCCTTGAGTTCTTTCTGTTCAGTCAGTGCAGTCTCATCCCAAGACGTCATATAACTGACGTTTTGGGATGTCTTTTGACCATACATCAACATCCGCCATTTTAGGGGTACCCTTTAACGTCGGTTAGATGACATTATCGGATCCTAACCCTACCCCAGACCTAAAGGCCCGTACACACCGGGACGAATATCAGCGTGCGTTATTCGTCAGCGTTTTTCAACGCGTTTTTTGTGTTCACACCCAAGCGTTTTTCGCTGACGATGAGCCGAGTGAACATGCAAATTCATTCCCTGACATTAGATGGCGCTTAATGTAAAACAGAAATAATAATAGAATACTATACTAGGGTGATCATATTCATGTCTCAATGTTTTATTATGACAGATAGAAAAAAACGAATGAAATAATGACATAAATGTCTTCTGTATTAGAAAAATAAATATAATAAATAACTAAACGAAATGCCTCCAAATGTAACAAAAAATAGCTCTCACAAACTTACAAAAACGAACTAACAAAATCTATTATCTTTAGTTTTCATTCTCTTTATCTTGTTTTTCTTCCTCGTCCACCTTGTTTGCCCATATTTTGCTGTAGAACTGATCTTTCCCAGCAGTTTTTGTTTGAAAACCAGGACATTTTCATCACTTAAAAACAGTCAGGACAGGACGTGGAAACAGGACATGTGTAACGCAAAGTTGAGATGTTGCCCAGAGATAAAAACATAGCACTAGTTGTCGGATGAACAGATGCACGAGAGACGAGAGTTGTATAACTGAGACTAAGCACACTATGCGCAGTTCTCATCTCAACTCAGATTTCTGTAAAGCACAAAGTGACCGTTTTACACATGTCCCGGGAACACAGGACGGTTGGTCACCCTATACTATACTATTATTACAGAAATACTAATATAAATATTATCTTATAGCTCTTTATGCTCCGAGACCAGCAGCTCAACATTCATCTTGCCCATAGGTATCTTCCCAGACAGCAAACTGACATTGAATCAACGTGGAAATGACGTCTCTCATGACATTGAAACAACGTTGATTTTGCTCATCGAATTAACGTTGAACCAACGTCAGACGCGGCATTCTTCAAAGCTAAATGAAAATCGAAAATTGGTTTGCTTTCATAACGTTGAAACAACGCCTTGATTTCAAGTTGATTTTCCGTTAGTTTTGAAAGAATGACGCGTCTGACGTTGGTTCAACGTTAATTCGATGAGCAAAACAATGTCAGATCAACGTTGTTTCGATGTCATGTTTCAACGTTGATTCAATGTCAGTTTGCTATCTGGGTTATCTCTTCTTCGCCGTATGTGTGCTCGGCACGACCGTTTTGGGTTTGTGTTTGAGCGCCCTCAAGTTGTGTTTTACTGTAACTTCAGAAGTACCAGACACGTGAGCAAACCCGCCAATCTCGTTGGTTGGATAGGTTTTGACGCGGCGTGTCAAACCAAAAAAACGAACCCGAGGAGTTTTTTTTAAAAATGACGCTTTTACGTGTGCCGTTTTTCGCGTCGGTGTGAACACTCACATTGGCGCCCATTGTTTAGTCACGAGGTGTTAAACGTCGACGAATAACGCGCGCGAAATTCGTCCCGGTGTGAACAGGCCTTAAACCTACCCCGTCACCTAACTGACGTTAAAGGTAAAGCGTCAGTTGTATGACGTCCCAGGATCGTCATGTAACTGACGTTAGAGGGTACCCTAAAACGGCGGATGTTGACGTCAGTTATATGACGTCTGGTATTGTCTATGTTAAAAGTGGTTGTGTTATGTATTCTCCTGCGATCTCCTGAGTGTTCCTTGTTTATTTTATTAAAGACTGTCTTTGTTCTCTATCACTTTCGTCATGTGTGGCATACGGCCACAGATTGTGACGATTTTACAACATTACTGTTTTACTGTATTTTTAATCAAATGAATGCAGCCTTGGTGAGCACAAGAGATTTCGGTAACACTTTAGAATACGGTTCCTTCGTTAATGAATAACTACACAAGAACTAATGAGTAACACAATATTAACAATCTAGTAACTATTATTAACTAATAAGAAACTCTGATTAACGAACTAGTAAGTAATAGCGTACAGACGGAAGTGGTAGTTCACTATTAAGTAATCAATAACTACTATTTTTTTAATACTTCCCAGAGAACTACTGAAAAAGTTTATTAACAATCTAGTAACTATTATTAACTAAAGTAAATTCTTATTAACAAATTAGTAAGTAATAGCTCACAGATGAAAGTGTTACTAGATACTTCTGTGGGAGTTACTAATTATTTGGATTCGTATTATAAAGTAAAGATCATTGGAACTAACTAGTAATTACTCAAGTGTTACTAAAGACATTTTCTAAAAGTATACTAAAGTTCACAAAAAATCTCAAACAGTTGCAAAAATCATGACTAGATCATGTAGTAACACTTGAGTAATTACTAGTTAGTTCCAATGATCTTCACTTTATAATACGGATCCAAATAATTAGTAAGTAATAGCTCACAGATGAAAGTGTTACTAGATACTTCTGTGGGAATTACTATTTGGATCCGTATGCGTATGATTTGTGCAACCGTTTGAGATTTTTGGTGAACTTTAGTATACTTTTAGAAAATGTCTTTAGTAACACTTGAGTAATTATTAGTTAGTTCCAATGATCTTCACTTTATAATATGAATCCAAATAATTAGTAACTCCCACAGAAGTATCTAGTAACACTTTCATCTGTGAGCTATTACTTACTAATTCGTTAATAAGAGTTTATTTTAGTTAATAATAGTTACTAGATTGTTAATAAACTTTTTCAGTAGTTCTCTGGGAAGTATTAAAAAATAGCAGTTATTGATTACTTAATAGTGAACTACCACTTTCGTCTGTGCGCTATTACTTACTAGTTCGTTAATCAGAGTTTCTTGTTAGTTAATAATAGTTACTAGATTGTTAATATTGTGTTACTCATTAGGTCTTGTGTAGTTATTCATTAACGAAGGAACCGTATTCTAAAGTGTTACCGAGATTTCTTTTAAAAATACTACAAAATCTGGATTACTCCAAACTTGGAGGTCAACACAAGTAGGTGTTAGTAGATGTTGCATACCTGTTTGCAGCAATAAAATCCATGAAGAGAATGCTTGCATACATGTTTATATAGAAGGCTGTTGCTCCAAAGCTGCAGTAAATATTACGCATCATGTCTGAACTGCTGGCATAGTTAGCAATGCGCAAAGGTAAACTAAGACAAAGGAAGAAGTCAGCTGCGGCCAGGTTCTTCATGTAGACCGTGACGCTGGACTGGACACGCTGATTAGTGCAGAAATACACACGCATTGTGATGCAGTTCAGAACCAGACTGACAAGAAACACTAGTGAGTATGCAAATGTGAAAACAGGATGAGTTCGGATCCCTGAAAATTCACAGGTGGTGTTTTGTTCTGGGTTAGTGGTGTTTGCTGTGGTGTCACCAAGGCCGGTGGTGAAGCTGGTTAGTGGAACTGCAGTTCTAAGAACTTGTGAAACTGCTGACTCCATCTAGATGCACAAGAGAGACATATTAGTCACCAAATGTACCAGTTTAGCAAATTTAAAGACTTTTACATTCATTGCATGGATGAATTTGTTGAATCTTCAAAGTGAAATATGTTGTTACACATCATTCATAGAATTCAAAATCTTCACAAGTGTAAGATTATGTCTATGAAGCATTCAAATATATTATTATATAGGTTTTTGGTGAGACACAAATTATTCTAAACGATTAAACATATTTGAAGGCCAACTGAAATGCCTTGAAACACGTAACATTATTCGTTGGTGTAATTTCCACTTAAACAGAATGACATTTGTGAACAAGTGACCAATTTTAACGCAGCTTCTGCATCTATGTATAATGTAAAATCTGATAAGAGGTGAACTGCAGAGTGATGTCATCAAAATAATTAATTCATATTGGTGAAAGTGATAGACTGGAAGTTAGATATTCTAAATATGAATTGTCTTGGAGCACATTATAAATAACCTTAAGGCTAGCATATTCATACTGTACTAAACGCAACAACAACAACAAAAAAGTGTATACGGGATTCAGTTCTAAAAGGTGAAATGAGGTGATTTGGCTGTATTTTCATGTAAAATGATCACTCAGAGAGAAAGATAAAAGTGAAAGAATGTCTTTCTTTCTTTTTTTTAAATGTATTTCTCACAGCTCACATCCTCTGTCTGAGTAACAAACCACAAGGAGAATATTCCCTTTCCAGTCTTGGATGATTGGTCTAATCTGAGCCTTATCTGCCCATCGGTTACCGTACCGGATACCTTGTGATCTTTTTGCTAATGGGCTCTATACACGGCGTTATTTCCGGTGAAGGATTAATGCTCGATAACTTCCGCCGATCATAGAGTCCAATGCAATACCGAGAATTTATATTGAATTTTATACTCCATGGTTATACTAATGAAACGTTAGTCACAAAAACAGATAAAACAGACACCCCTCGTTGTGTTTATGCTTCTTTTTAAAATTATATTAAATAAACATAACTATATATAAAATTACATCTAAACGTATGTACGTTTCGTTTCAAAGACGGGAGGACAGTAAATATTGAAGACTCTGCCATAATCCCGTTTTCTCCGGTTTTCCTCTGCTTTAATCTACACAACCGGAAATGGACGAGCATCCTTACGTCAAATGCGGAAATGCGTGCATATAGCCCATTGTTAAAATCACCAAATATATATATATATATGTGTGTGTGTGTGTGTGTGTGTGTGTGTGTGTGTGTGTGTGACGGGATAAATAATATAGTTGTGAGTTCTTTAAATAAATCCTGCAATAATGGGATTGTACTTCCTATGTGGTACGCGGGTGCCGCGAATCCGACGAGCGTTCTTGTGTAGGCTGCCATCTTGTGGCGACGCCATTACTGAGCTGTTACACCGGCATAGACATATGCACCGGTATGTAAACAAACCTCGGAGATAAGGTGATAACGCACCCTTGATGACAGCTACAGCTAGACTTGTTGGGTTGATGATGTTAGACATTGGCCTCCAGTCACAGATGAAGGTACAAACGATCTTACAGATTATTTATGAAAATAGCTTGGCAAGCAAGCTAGGCTAACGTTTGCTACCGAGGAAACTAAAAAAAGATCTGTCCATTTGGCAACAATAAATAAATAAATAAATGAAATCAAATAAACAATTTCATGTTTTTCATTTGTGTCCATTATTTATCTCATTTTTACATTGCAACGGGCATGGGTAATGTAACGTTACAGCTAGAAAGTATACATAATATCGACCAACTACTGTTTTTAAACCATGGAGGTCAATATAACAGCAGGAGAACAATTATGTCACATAACGTTACATTCAGCTCAGGAAAGCCATTTAATGACCATAGCATGTAAATTGAATAGAAAAAATAGCAAGAGAGGAGATTTTGCTGATCACTATATCACATATTTATTATATTTTTTTACTTATGTCATTAAATAATTGTTATTATACGCGAATGTCCGCGTCTTGTACTCGCCCAGGAAATCTGTGTAAACCGTACGGCACCAGACAGGGGCAGTCGACCCGGGGTATTCACAGTGTTTTCTCTTCAAAATTGAAATTTTACTGCCACCATTAAAACAATTTATAACGGAAACTGTTTACCCACTCGACATTATACAAGGGCTAACGTTGTAACGTTAGTGACAGTCGTAAATCGCGAGCTGTTTATTTCAGTGGACGCAAGTTGCAACTAAAACAATAGGAGGCAATGGCGCAACGCTACCCAGCAACAGCTCAGTAATGGCGCCCCGCTTACTTCCGGTACGATCTGCAGCAGAGTAAGAGAGAACTGCTGTGGGTGAGTCGGTTTCCGCAAAGAACGTACACCAGCGCCCAGCAGCAGCCCTACGCTTCTGCCATTTCGGGGTGAAAGCGACTCGGCAGTCATTTAATATACATTTAGTCCAGTGCAGAGATCATTTTTAGGTTGAAATAATTAGGCTAGGTGATTATTTAACTCACAACAGTTAACTTTATAGCAGTTAAAAAAGAAGTTGCTACTTAACCGGGCTTTTACCCCCACATAACTTGAGACAGGGAAGTTTGAGGATTTAATTCATTATGTTCTCCACATTAAGTGTAAAAGGTAAGAATAAAGTGATATCAGTTCATAAAGTTATAATAACATGGACCGTTTCCCGGGAGGTAGGCCCCCAGATAGCAGACTGACATTGAATCAACGTGGAATATGACATCGAAACAACGTTGATCTGACATTGTTTTGCTCATCGAATTAACGTTGAACCAACGTCAGATGCGTCATTCTTTCAAAACTAACGGAAAATCAACTTGAAATCAACGCGTTGTTTCAACGTTATGAAAGCAAACCAATTTTCGATTTCATCTAGCTTTGAAGAATGCCGCGTCTGACGTTGGTTCAACGTTAATTCGATGAGCAAATCAACGTTGTTTCAATGTCATGAGAGACGTCGTTTCCACGTTGATTCAATGTCAGTTTGCTATCTGGGCCTTCACATAACGTTACAAAAATAAATAGGTTATCAATTGAAAAAATTCAGCAAATAAATGTTGTACTAAAATGTAAATGTTTGACAATAAATTAGAACAGCA